TCGAGCGTAATTTCGTGGTCCTATGATTAGTGTTCTAGTAGTGCTACTAACCCTTCTCTTTCTCTAAAGAGGTCTTTGAAATCCTTGTATTCCTTAGGTAGACTTACCTTTTCCATACTGTCTAAGGCCCTTCTCCTAGGTTATACCTATACTGCCCTCTATAGAGGTACTTCAGAAGTTAATCGTTTCTTTCACTTCCTCTTTTCATGACTGCAATTCGGGAAGGACAAGGTTCGTTTTTTCCAGCTTATCTCTGGATTATGTTCCTGAAGCCATTTCATCCCTAGAACTATATCGTACTTAGTTAGCATCACGTTAATGTCGACCTTTTCACAGTGATCACCAATCTCTAACTAAGTGTCCCGGATTTCTTTCCGTATCCATTTACTGTCGTACTCTACCGGTGTCCTATCTGCCATAAGTAATGAATATAGTTGTTTTTTCCCGTGTATTTCGAATCTTGCTACTACCTTTAGTGATATATAGTCTCGATTAGCTCCACAGTTAATCATTACCTATATAGGCTTATCAGCTAGTTTAGCGCTAAAGACCAATGGCGTTAAACGCTGAGTCTGTATCATGTTAAATTGTCTAGCCTAAGGCTTCTTCCGTCGAGAGGTCTTTTACCTTAAGAGGACTCCTCTCCGTCGTTTTTTGGTATATCGTTTATATCCGCATTCTCCTTTCCATAAATTCGCTGGAGAACTTCTGGCGGTATTTCAATGTCCATCTTTTCCGTGCTTCCCTCTTTGTGCGCATGCAATGCTGGCGTAAATAGGCACTGCATGTCTCTGCATAGGTTAATCTATATTGTGCGTAATGTTCTTAGCCTCACTTCCGGATCGAACACAGCATAGTAGTGCTGTGCGTTATATAGATAGTGTGGTCACTAGCACAGAACTAGCTTTCAGTATAACGTCATAATGACATGATACGTCTTAGTCATACTTCGCACGATGAACTTAACCGGGTCATCTTCCTTATCCGGGGAATTAACCATTATAAACTCTTCTTCTTCATTTAAGTCGTCGTTAAGTGAGTAGTGCGTCCCACTCCTATACACTTCATATGTATATATTCTTCTATGCGGGCATAGCTTATCTTGACACATGTTAAGAGCCATTATCTTCTACCTTTAATTGGGGTTGCTATAAGGCGTGAATCGTATGTTTTCAGTTAGTGTGGTTAACTAGTAGTGCGTACTGATTATCATTACTCCTGGTGTCTTCTCCTTTTCGTAATAATACCCTGTAATGTCTTGATTAATCTCCCATGGTGTGAGGTTTTCCTTTTCCTTAAACGGAAAGAAGTATGGTAACTTCGTGCTGGTCTAATGTGTGTGAGGTTCAAGGCCCTTATACTCAAAACATCGCCATATGGGAACTTCTTATGCTTCTTTCTATTCTGTGGTGTGATCTAGGCGGTAGCCGTTGGTTACCGACCTGATTCCTGGCACCTGTTCCTTATAGTAGACTCAATTAGTGGTCTCAACGACTGCATAATAATAGCCGTGAAATAACACGGTGTTATATAGCGAGTTGGAGTTCTCAGAGCCCTAGTCTGGTCCGTTCTTTCTTTTAAACGGGAACTCATAACGGTCTTCCCCTAGCATATCGTGCGTGTGTACCGGTGTGGTACATGTTAAGCTCTCGCACGCTGTGATAGGAACCAGGTCCTCCCTGATCTCGGGGTCTCCCCATGGGTTAATCCTTCTGTGTACTGTCGTGCAATCGGCACGGCAATATTGTGTGCATGGTACATCTATTCAGTACTTTATTACTAGTACTGTGATACTGTCGTAGTTTAATATAACCCGATATTTATCAGTATGTGGCAACGTTATCTATTGCCCTGCAGCAGCTATAATTCCTAATTCCATGAGGACGAATTCTTCGTCTTCGTCGTCGGGTGCCTTAGTATCTGCAATCCACGGTGAAGGCTCTCCGGCTTCCATTATGGCCAATTCCTCAGGGTCTTCCTAGTCAGCGCTCTCTATCTTTCGTGCCTTATCGTGACGGTTTCTACGCTTTCTTTCGTGAGGAAACCATCCTAATCTCTCTTTATCGGAAAGATAAATGGGGCAGTGGTCGTTATAGTAAGTAGTTCAGGATAAGAGTGTGTGTGCAGCCTTATCGTCGGTCCTATTATTAGCTTCTTTATCCTGTTCCTTTAGGTCAGGAAAGGTTCCCACGGTCGTGGCAACCTCTTTACCATGTTCCGATAGTAGTAGTGGAGTCACTCCCTTCACCTAGGTCCCTTTAGGCATCCCCTTCTGTGCTTTCTCGGCGCGGCTAGCCTTTTTAATAGTATCCTCCTTGTCCAAGGAGTCGTGAAGAGTCTAATAGTACCGCTGCCTCTTGTCATATAGGCGGCATACTTTGCTAACACCTTCCGCGAATATTTCCAATCGGCGCTTAAGTTCTGATACTTTCATTAGAGTGTCAGCCTTTTATTCTCTAATACCGGCTATTTCTTCCATCATGTGCAGTTCTATGGGCTTTATACCGCATTCTTTAGCCCTATGTCCGGATTTTCCATAATTATAGCATAGGTTTTCTTTTTTTCGTCGCTCTCACTCTTTATTAAATGGCCCCTTACGCTAGAAGCGGCCCTTCAGCCGTGAGAACTGGCCTCATTCCATAACATTAAGGTCCATTGAGTCACTATAAGACTGGTAGCTTGGGCGGCTACTTTTATAGTACGTGCCGCTAGTCTTTCCGCGGTAACCTTTGCGTTCCAAGTTCAGTTCGTAGAGTCAATTATCGATTTCGATGGCTCGGTTAACCAGTCCTTTATAGTCCATAGGTCTATCTGGTCCCATTTCTTTTTTCACGGCGTCTTTTAATCCAGTGTAGAAGGCTGCAGCGAACGCGTTATCTTCCCAGTCTAACTTGACCTAGAGTCGCTTAAACAGCGCATAGTATTAAGCTACTAAGCCCGTCTATTTAAGCTGATGGATCCGCTAAGACGCGGCTTATTCTTCTCTAGGGGTCCCAAAGATCTGTTTAATATGATCCACGAAAACAGCGAAGTTCTCAAAGATTGTAATAGTCTCTAGGTCCTTTTGTGCTTAAGGTAAGGTTAAGTGGTCCATCATGATGGGTTTAAACTAATGAAAGGCCGAGCCCTTTATGTGAAGTCCTGCGAATAAGACCCTATCCTCCTAAGTGGCATACTTAGTTCGATTCAACCTAAAGGTCGCGATGAGCTAAGTGATAAATAACCTAAGCTTAGCACGGTCCCCGTAGAACGAATCAACCTTGTTATCATCCTTGTTGTTGTTGTAGCCCCCTTAAGTGGTGGTGCTATAGAATAATGGGCCTAGGGTCGGGGCGCTGGAGCGGACCGACCCAGTTGGAAATGGTGAACGAACTGATTTAGGGTTCGAGGCGGACATCGTGTCAAATACTTCCGATCAAGAGGTAATCAAAGTGTTACGTTTCGCTCTACACAGGGTGTCACAAAACGTATGGTCTCAATAGGCGGGAAGTATAAGAGGCGAGGTCACTGAGAGCGCGGTACTTGAGCGAGTATAAGAGCGAAGTGATCATAACTAAAACGTATGGGTATAATCGTGAACGAAGTTGACTACGTGGTAAAGCTATGTAACGACCGTGTATATATAACCGTTCAACCTCTTTGGGCTCTCTCCGGCTCCAAGGGCTCTGTAGTGGGAGCCAGGAGAGCTGATAGAGCCCGTAGCTCCCTAGGCTCTGTGGCCTCATTCCTTAGAGTTCTGAGAGCCACTCCTGCCACGTGACCACGCCCTTAGGCTTTCACGTGTTTCGGACGTATTAACGCCGACCGGCTGTCGTCACAGCTTTGTCTGCGACCTCATAAGAGGCCTAATTCGTAACAGATAGGATTTAATCTTTTATTTATGTAAAGAGCTAAATTAAAAATGAGGTCTTCTAGCCTAGTTTATCACTTACCTTTAATTAATTTAATCTCCTTTTAATCCCTTCACTATATTTATTCTATTTTATCATTATTACTTTCCTTTCTCTTTCTCTCTCCCTACTTACCCTCGATACTTATAAGGCTAGCCTCGATTTTTTCGAGCTAGGCGGTATTTTTATTCGCTGTCTACCCTAGGTAGACAGGATAATAGGGATAATGGCGCCTCATTTTTTTTGAGGTGAGCCTTAAACTTATCTAGGCGGGCGCGGGAGCCCCGAAAAAGAAGACCCACTAAGGACTTAGTATTTTTTATTATCTACTAGCTTAAAAAAGTTAAGTAAAAGCTTTATTATAATGGCTTAATAAAATTAAGTAGAAGCTTCTTACTTTGTTATCCTATTAGGCCAGAAAAAAATGACCTTAATATACCCTAGGCGTACTGCCCTAAGAAAACTTTATAGCCACTCAAAAAAAACGAGCCCTAGGCCGTACCTTTAAAGAGAAAACTTTTAGCCTCTACGCTTTAGCTTTATAACTAATTTGTCAACTGAAAACTGCGGGTCCGCGTTAGTAAAAATTGAGGTATAGCCGGGTAAAAGTGAGGCTTATCTCCTAGTTAGCGGCATTATCTTCGTTATAAATAAGTATCTTATAGAACTAGGGGGCTAGGTTAGTTTTTTTCGAGGCTAGGCTGGAGCACTACGTACCTTAAGTATGTTGTGGCAATAGATACTAACTGAGCCGGCACACTCCCTATTCTATAGGGCCCCATTAGTTTTTTTTGAGGCTAGGGTTAAGAATCTCATACCTTACCCTTAGTGCTTTTAGGGTAAAGGTTATACACTATAAGGCACTCCTTAAGTAAAGTGTACTAGGGTTTTTCGGGTCCGCGCTCAAAACTTTTAAGTGAGGTCTTACTTACCTTAACTAGATAGTCACACGCGAGTAATGGGTTAGGCTTATAGCTGTAGATAACCTCGTTAATAGCTATAGGACATAACTAGAAAAAAACGAGTTAGTTCGGGGTTAACGAGGCTTATCTTTTTTGAGCTGACTTACCTTGCTACCGCGATAGTATAATCAGCACTTAGTGCGTATAGCTATATAGGTTTTGCCTCGCCAAAAGTGAGCACTGCCCTAGAAAAAACGAGTTAGTTAGGCTTCCCTACGGCCCAAAAAAAAAGACTTTACCCCAGCTTCTTCTCTGAGGTGAAGTGCTTATTAATAGACGGGCGGTGCAGGCAGCCGTAGCCATCCTCACGCCACTCCTTAGCCTTAGCTCTGTTTTTTCGAGTTAGCACGTGTGCGCCTTAAAACAAAAGACTGTGAACTTACTATTTAATGCGCGAGGTGCCGGGCAAGGGGAGAATTAAAAGGACCGAGCTTACGGTCAATTTTTTCGACCGAGAGGACTTAGAGGGAGTGCTGGGCGCGGATAATATCTTAGACCAATTTAAAAGGGTGCTGGCTAGATTTTATTGAGTCAGTCTTACTGTGAGTACTGTGAGAAGGGCCTTAATCTTTTCGAGGCACTCCCCACTGACCTTACCTTAAAAAGATCAAGGGAAAAGAGGGGCTAGTAAGAGGGTGAGCAGAGAGAGGAGAGAGGGGAGGGGAGGCCCCGCAAAGATTGAGGGGCTTAACCTACCTAAGTAATGAGAAGATATGAAAGAGGAGAAGGTTAGTTAGAGCGAGTGAAGGGGGTTTAAATATGAGGCCTAGCTTAGTAGTTACGCTAAGCCGCGCGTAAGCGTCTCATAGTGTATCTTAGGAGGCCCTTAGTGTTATGCTATAGTGAATAGCGCGCGACTAGGTGCGGGTATAGATACTAAATATCGGGGGATTGCCTATACCATGTGACAGTGAATAGTGGGCGCCTATGTTTAGATGATATTATGACTAATGAGCCTGGGGTGCTTACTTACCTTATCGCACTTATCCCCCTCCCTTAACATTTACGAGCCTAGCCTCAAAAAATTCGAGGTAGGACTTAACTAAAATGGGGCGCGAGGGGTAGTGTTAAGGGCGCTATTAGGTCGAACTTAATAAGACTACCACATTCCCAGTCACCTTAAAAATATTGACGCTAAGCTTAACTTAGGTTAGGGGTATAGATTAAAATATTTGGACATGATTAAAAGAGGGTTCCTAGGGGTGGCAGCAGCGGTGAAGAGCGCCGGGAAGGAAAAAAATAATTGGGGCCTAAATATTAATAAGGCTTAGCCGCGAGATTAACCTTAACCGTTAATAGCTATAAAGAGTAATAAGCTACTCTAACTCCATAGCTTCTTATTCGATTTTTATAAGACTCCTAGGGGGGAGTAGAGGGTACCAGAATAAATACCTTCGGCCGAAAAAGTTAACGTGGAGAGTCTCTCTCTAACGTTTAGCATTAAGTTAAATCGCTTATCTTAATAAGGACGACCTATGTTCTACTTATCCCGTTATAGTTAAGATAAAAAGGATAATAGTGGCGGTGTTAACCGCGTTATAACGTTTAGAGAAAGGCCCTATATAATCCCATTAAGTTTCGAGTGAATTAAGTGTTCAGTCATTCGTTTCGAGCGGGATCCTCACTAGGTCACCTAGGTAACTCAGGTTTTCAGGGTTAGTGATGTGGCGAGAAGAGAGGAGGCCAAAGAAAGAAGAAAAAGCGGGCCATTTACTGTCACTGATCTTAAGAGGCCGCCGGCTAGAAGAACCGGGCAAAGGCCCGGTGGGTTCCGCGCGGAAATCGAGGAAAATAGACCGACGGAACTTATTGCCCCTAGATTCTCGCCCCCTACTGGTGGGTTTTGTCGTGCTAGTAGGTAGGTTATAATAAAGTAAGAAATATAGCCTAGTGATAATTTGAGTTAGTAATATAAAATAAGTATATAGTAATATAATATTTATAGTAATACTAGACATAACTTTAGAATCTATTAAGTAGTTATAACCTTATTTAAGGAAGAGAAATCTAAGTAGTTATAACTAATTTAATACGTGATAATTAAGTGTAGCTATAAAATGTGATAGTAATTAGGTAAAGGTGTCTTACTCACTTATCTATCTTTCTCACTTATTATTTATATTAGCTATTATAGGTTAAATACTTATAATTTTTAATCTATTATAATATTACTCTTTCTTTTACTTATAATAACTATTTAAGGGTTTATTAATATTTAATTATGTAACTAGATATAAGAAGGACTTAATTAAGGTAAAACTATTAAGAGAACTAAGTTATATCGTAATAAGGAAAAGTATAGCGTAATAAGTCTTTATTAATAAATAACTAGTTAAGTAATAACTAAATAAGAACTTAGAGAGCTAAAGGATTAAAAGCTTATAAAGGGGGGTAAAGATCTCCTTATATAAATGTAAAGAAGGGTCTATATAGAAGGCTTTAGAATAGGATAAACTAGTAATTATAAATTAATAGTCTTACTATATTTAGCCTTACGTAATATACTTAGCCTTATATAGTATACTTAATCTTATATAGATTAATAAGTTCACATTTTTAACTTTAAATAGTTAATAACTTAATATAGTTAATAATATAGTTAATATATAGTGCTTCTCTATTTACTTCTATTATAATATAATTAATATTATTAAAGTATTATATATTTAGGGCTTATAGTCACTAGAGAATAATGTACTTATACTTAAGGAAAAGGAGCCTTACCTTATTACTTAGTTATTTAGTTATACATTATATATTATATACTTCTATATATACTATACTTATTTCTATTTACATATTTTAATATTATAACTAAGACACTTATACTGTTTTCTATATATACTTATTATAGCTAATTAATAGCTACTAAAAGATATCTTTATTATTTTCTAGTATAATATATATCACTTTTTAAGGATAAAAGGCTAAAGAGAAAAGAGATATTATTATAAGTAAATAAAATAAAGAATAAATAATATCTTAAAACTTTATACTAAGTATATTTACTAAGTATATAACGCTAAGAGAACTTAGGGAAATCATATAATTATTATAGACTTCTTATATAAGGAACTTCTCTTTTTTATACTTTAAGTTCTATAACTAGAGTACCTAGATAGAAAGACTAATTTTTATTATGTTATTACTTTATTTATTCTATAGATTATTCTTAATATCTATTTATTCTATAGGCTATTCCTAATATTCTTTAAGTCTTATTACCATATTAACTTCTAGATAATAACATGAATAGGCCTAGAGAATAAGGCGTTAGAGATTACCTTAATAATGAGCGCCTTATTAGATAGAATAGAAAGAGAAATAAATGCTAAGCTGGGGTAGTAAAAGAGTGTCTTAAGGCCTATACCTGTAAAGACCGTTTTAGCGGAGTACTCTGCATGGGAGGTCCTTAGCCATCTAATAGATACCATGTAACCCATAATATAGATATCTATAGCTTATCTGTTTCTAACGTAACGCTATGGAATGACCTTCCCAAACAATCTCTCCAACAATCTGATCTGAAAGCCAACCCACCAATACTGTAAACCCGCCCATAACTGGGCAAACCTACCTCCCAAAGTCCACAGTCCAAACATTCGCGAATAATAAAAATTCAATGTCACACAGTTCATGACCTCCGTACGATACTGCCTCCAGGTAATTTTCCCCTCCACCGCATCCACAAGATGTAACGCCTGGCGGGCGGCCTCATTCGTCGCTCTACCGGAATGCGGCCTGGCCATGCAAAACGCCTCGCCCACCAGTACGACATGCCCGTCATGAAACACGCACTCGGGCGCGATGAAGTCACTGACGGCTGTGATGAACGGGCGATCTGAGATCTTCTCCACTATCTCATCGAGCGGCGGCGGGAGTGTCTTACGCGCGACATCGAGTTGAGCTTCCCAAGCATCCGGATCCATTTTCCCGGGCGGCAGCGTCCAGCGGTGTACTTTGCCGTCAACGTCCGTCATAGATTTGACATACACCGGGCTGTTTGCGGAGCAGTAGTCGTACCAGACGAAATTGACAAGTGTTTCGTCCCCGCCGAAGCGCCCGTCGTCGGCGGGGATCGGGTAGGTCATGGTATACGCCTTCACAGCAGGGTTGGCGATCACAGGCGCGATACCGGGCTGGTAGATGTCTTTGGCTAGGGCAGAAAGTTGATTAAGGGGTATTATGCCGCGCCATGCCATATAACCGGCGTACTTGCGTAAGACGGGACGGGAGGGAAGGAGGAGTTTGCGGATTGTCGAATTACCTCCGTCAGCGCCGATGAGGAGGCGTGTTTTCAGAGTGTGCGAAGTGTTTGTAGAGAGGTCGTCGTAGTGCACGAGAACTACTTTCTCGGATTTCAGATACTCGATTGATGTGACCTTGGCTTGTGTTTTGTATACCCCCTTGCCTTCGTCAGGGTAATCTGACGCATTCGGGGTTTGTTGCGGGCACACCGGCGTGACGAAGCGGTCGAAATGCGCTCGCAGTCTGTAGAACAAGATAGTCCAACCTGTCATAACGCCCGGGTATGGCTCAACTCGTTTGATCTCGAGCTTGCCATTGACGGAGTCGTAAAAGTGGACTTGGTTCATCGGAGGCCCAACATCGTCGAGAGAGACTCCAGCACTGTTAAACAGCTTACGAACTTGGTCGGTCAGACCGATGCCGGCAGCTTGTGATTTTCGGATATCAGAGTGAAACTGTTCGAGGATCGTAACGTTGTAGCCGCGTCGTTTGAAAAGGACACCGCTTAGCAGGCCGGCTAGAGAGCCTCCGACAATGACCACATCATGGATGTCTTTCTTATCGCTCATCGTTGCGTTGGCGAGAATTGATCTGTACAGCAGCAATGGCGAGGCGAGGAAGGGGCAAGTATTAGCAGAACTGAAAAGCTGTGCCTGGCCCGAATTTTTGTACTTATATAGAATCGTTTCACTACTCCCACAGGACGTAGCGGCAAATACCCCGCGAATGGACGATGTACGACGCATCAGTCTGATTTATAATTGCCGTCAGGGCTAGGCTTAAACGACCAGCTTTCAATACCCGAAGCCGTAATGCAATACCCGAACGTGTCAGCAAATGATCGACCCCCCACAAATCAAAATATCGCGGGGTAGTGTGCGTGCGAGGTACGATGCTGAGAAATCAAGCCAATGGCATCTTACATCGAGAGTGTTGGTGACGTGCTGCGTACGCGGACACGGAATGATTGACACAGACAGCTTGTGCAGGGTGCATGCCGTATGTCTGTAAGTTTCCAGCTCAAATACAGCAAAGATACCGTAACAAGTGTCGGTATATCGCGGGATCAATTGAGGTTCCATGTTTGCTTTGAAAGCATTGTACAAAGTTCTGGTCGTACTTGGTCAATTTCCTCAAACACGTTACCATGCTGAGATAATTATGCATTGGGATTGTGGCATTATCAGGGCATTATGTCGTGGTCTAACCCAAAAGCACAGGGTAGGTCACCAAAATAATATCAAGGACGAAGGCAGGATCAAGTTAAATTTTAGATTCAAGTCGACCTTGTTTTCATACTGATCCCTATTCTTTCGTCTCAACATCAAGCCAATTTCTCAGAAATTGACAGCCATGCGAGTCCTCATTGTTCTAGCGCACCCTGGGCGAGAATCGCTTAATGCGTCTCTGAGTAATGTCATGGTCAAAGAGCTACAGGGTGAAGGGCACGAAGTGCAGGTGTCAGATCTGTACGCTATGGGCTAGAAATTAGATATTGATCGAGAGGATTTGCCCGCGTTTCCTACTGACAAACCTCTACGTGTCGTAGGGGCCTTATATTAAGCATACTTCATAGCTTCTCTAACTAACGATGTGGTTAGGGAGTAAGAGAAGCTTAAGGGAGCAGATACAGTCATCTTACAGTCCCCTCTATGGTGGTACGCCATGCCTACTATCCTTAAAGAGTGAGTGAATCACGTCTTCTCCTGTGGCTTTACTTATGGCGTAAGAGAGTATAACAATAAGCATTAGGGGGACTAATTTAGTGAGGGGGTGTTTACCGGTAAAGGGGCTATGGTAGTAGTTATTATTAGTGGGTAGGAGTAGTATTACTTAGCATATGGTATTAGAGGTCTGATTAAGGATCTGCTGTTCCTGATTAGTTATGATATACTATTCTACACAGGTTTCGTGGTGTTACCCCCGTTCGTGGCCTACCGCGTTAACCGCTTTAATAAAGCTACGTTTCAGAATACAGTAGACTGTCTCCGCGACTGCGAAATTCTACTGTCACAGCTACTATCCCTTGTCAGTGCCAGAATGGACGTGATTACAAGATCCTGACCATGGTTCTACGCCAAGATATCAGTGAAAGGTAAGAAAGGTTCAGGATATATTAGGCATTATTATCTGATAAGGCAACCTAAAGGGTGCCTATCCGTGGTTGCACCCACGAACGACACTGCGACAGAAGGCGGCACTAAGGATCTCGCAGATATCTCTCTGCTAACTACTATTGACAAGCTTATGTAACTTTATTAATACTGTCACCTTACAAGCTTAATCCATTAATTCCTGTGTAACGATGCCACTTACTCCAGAAGAGTGAAGCAGTAGGAAATTTCCTGCACGGACACCATCCTCGTAACAGGTTATGCTGTTAGACGTTACTCGGCTTACCTTCCTGCTTATCTTAGCCCCAGATAGCTACCTGAATTCGTAACTTGATATCGTCTGCGGCTATTACATGCTCCGACATCAACCAATAGTTTACTCCTTTAACCCGCCATCTAAAACGTAGATTTATGTTTGCCAAAGAAGCCTTGCATCCCTACCGTCTATCTCTTTTCATGCGATGTCACATGCTACATAGCCTGGGCAATTAAAGTCTAACTGGCACTTCACTTATAACTTCTACATGAAAACTACCTAGCCCCATTGGCCTTATTTCGAGCGAACACGGCACGTCGAGACAATATAACCGCTCGAAAGACCTCGAGGCAGTCATGAACCAGAATCTGCTCGCCCTCGAGAACTCCTGGTTCCGAGATATCGAAGATCGTCTTGGCGATCAATTTGAAACTACTCTTTAGTGTTATCTCCGTGGTCGCACCGAACCTGAGGACCGAATCGTAGGCTCAGTGCCAGCGTTAGGCGTAGGCAATGGCTAGTTATGTCTTCCCGAAACCGCCGGGGCTTCCTAGGACCAGTTATCGCTGCCGAGGAGACTCGCCATCTGGCTGTAGAATGTCTTTGATAGCGTTAAGTTCAGCCTCGCGCCCGATGAAAAGCCCGGAATCGTTGCGTGGTACGTGACCGAGGCACAGTCTGACCGGTTTATAAAAGCTGAAGCCAAACTTCTCCTGAAGCGGGTAATGGTGGTGCACTACTGAATATATATATTAGCGAGCCAAAGCTCAAATCTGGTAAGAGTGGCAAAACTAAGCTGGCGAAGATATTTCCACAAGTCAATTTGCTAAGACATTTTAATAAATAGTTAGCACATAAGATATAGATAATTTAAAATGTGGGAGAGATTTAAAGTCTTAGTTTAAGGGTCTTTAGCATGAGTTAAAGAGTTATAAATATAAATATGTATATACACTATTAAGAATGTGATATAAGATGTAGACATAAAGAGATAGAGAGAGAGTGTGTAAAGTCATGTATAGATACTACTACGGTCCAAACGAAAATAGTAATACGTTAAATCGTTAAAAGTGGTGAGAGACAGATGGATTTAACTGGGTACGCCTTAGACTGGTCACCAGAAAAAAGCATCCTCACTTCTTTTGTGGAGGTACGTTGCTCCCTTCCCGCAAAAAGGCATACTAACCAGAACAGGGAAGCAGCTTGTATTCTTAACCTAAAGGCATGCCTGGCACGACGTTAATCAAGGCGGGGACTCTTTCTCAGACCAACATTCCAATTGTAGCAGAGACTTTCGTGACTTGACGCCGAGATTATGTTTCTCCTGTTGCCGGCGCTTAACAAGTAGATAAGATGCCCTGAAGGGGTTTCTTAATGCTCTAAAGGCTGGAAAAGTTAGGTCAAAATCAGATTGGACATGTGGTTTACGTTTTATGGATAAAGGGGGTGGACAGATTAGAATCACTATATTAGAGCTGCCCTCCCTGCACAGCTATACTAGTCGCACCGTTCTTCACGAATAATTTAATAAGGAGATCGTAGACTCTTTATTCTGATTCAACGAACATATCTTACTAATTATGAAATTTGTCAGGTCGAGCTTAGCCAGAGAGACCGGCTTTTTTGGTATTGGATCCACTTCTAGCCGCTTTAAAGACAGCCATAAAATGGATGTAACTTTGCGGTAGACGACCCGGTTCAGTAATTCATGATTAAAATTCGGGTTTCCGTCGTTTCAGGCTTCTGTCTGGCTGCCGATCCAACCGACACAGAAATTTACTGTCATCTTAAAGACTCGACAAAGTTTGCAACATTCTGCGTTGACTCTTGAGCATACCAAACCAGCGTCGCATTAGAAAGATACGCACTTTAAGTCAAAAATGGGACATCAGGGGCCTATTTACCACGCCACGGCAACAGGTGCAGCAAAGAGTACGGTTAACTGTCACCAGACCCCGCAGGATTTGATATTCTGGGCGGGTTGGGTAAGTGTGTACTCCCAGAGCATACCTACATATCTAAGAGTAACATATAGTTTTGCCCGTTCACTCAGGTCAGCGAAACTTTCTGAGCGTAGACATCTGCGTGATGAAAGTATGAGATTAACAGAAGGATTTAGCGAAGTTGGATTGCTTTGGAAGAAAAACGTATCCCATATACCTATCATGAAGTAAGCTGAAGGAGAAGGATTTCAAATACCAGGTTAAACATGATTTCTAACCCCGACAGGTCAACCCATACCTGAAGGAGGAGCATTTTCTTGGTGAGTGTATTATGTCCAATAAGACCTAGAAAGGATGAACTAGAATTGTGCATATGCTCAATAAGTTACAGCAATCAGCCCGAAAGGCTTGGTCCCTGCAATTCAACACCATGGCAGACCACTTCATGACTCCATCGTGGTCAGCGAGTATCTTGAAGAGGCCTTCTTCGACGACAATGCCGCCTCTGACACCATCTTGCCCCCTTCCGATCCTTATCAAAGAGGAGTTGCACGCATCTGGATTGATTTTATTAACAAGAGCGTTGTTCCTCCCTTTTTTCGACTCTTGCAAGCTCAGTCAGACGAAGCAGAGCAGAAAGCAATGGCCCTCCAGGATCTGAAAGATGCTTTGGCAGCCGTCTCCTCTCAGGTCAAGGGGCCCTACTTCTTTGGAGATCAGTTCAGTCTGGTCGACGCGGTTATTGCACCTTGGGCAGTGCGTGATTTCATCCTGCGCGAATATCGAGGGTTCAATCGTGAGGAGGTCCTGACATGGAAACAATGGGCTGAAGCACTGGAGAGTAGAAGGAGTGTAAGGGAGACTTCGAGTGTATGAAGTTCCCCTCATTGAAATGAATCTGCCCTTGTTACTAACATCGCTGCTAATGACCTAGGATCCTGAGAAATATGTCGAATTTAACAAGACCTTTCTGAGAAAAGAGTCGCACAGTCTGGTTGGAAAAGCTGCGTTAGAAGGCCGAATACTTCCATGAAATGCTTGGAGATGCAGACAGAATGGCCAGAAGGCCTTTGTCTCCCTAGGTTACCTGAGCAAAGAATCCCTCGCAGATTCTTGATGATACAATGCCCCCCTGTTGATGCATACTACGTTGTTACCGGTCTGTAGACTTAATGATCATGGTATTACGTATGTGTTATGTTTCGCTCCACCTAGGGTGTCACTGCACGTAGGGTCCCTTAGCAAGTGGGAAGTATAAGAGGGACAATGTCTCGGGGAGCGTATAGTATATTGAGCGTGCTTGGTATACTAGAAGCGAAGTGATTATAACCAAAACATATGGGTATAATTGTGAACGAAGTTAACTACGTGGTAAAGCTATGTAATGACTGTGTTCATATATTCCCTCGCGCTCAGTGGTGCTCAGTGGTGCTCAGTGTTGCTCAGCCTAATCACTACTGATCATAACTGAGCGCAGCTAGTCAGGGACTCACCCCTAGTCACATCACGTGACCTCTGGTTTAGTCACCCCGAGCTCTCCTCGGTATTTCCTGCCTCGTGGGGTTAACAGCTGTCGTCACAGCTTTGTCTACGGCCTGTAGGCCAGGCCTGTAGGCCAGGCCTGTTCGTAACAGTATGATATTAACTGTTCAACACCACAGGAGTTATTTCAAATCCCGATAAACTCGGTTATCCAAGAACTTGCCGTGGAACAAGGATGATTGGCTGACATTCTGGCGTCTCCGGAAGCACTAGTTACAAGGACCGACCTCGCACTCATTTCGGATTTTAGATGGGCAAGTTAGGTTAGCATCAGCTGGTTTTTAAGGGGTGACGTTTAGCTCACGAAGATATCTCGGGAATTGTTTTATCATTAAGCTTCACCTGAGACCTATCTGCGTAGCATTTGCGTTAATTTGCGTCATAGAGGTGGGCCTTAAGCTGCAAAGTTGTTAGCGATAATTGCATATACTGAAACAGTCCGAGATAAGTAAGACTCGTTCGTTATAGCGGCCAGATATCATTTGGTCTAGTTAGTCAGTCAATTGCTCTAGGTCGTATAAGCTCCGAATCGTCCAGTGTAGGGCGCACTATACTAAACAGTCAAATGCATGAACGGGTAAGGCATGCTCGTAAAGTGGCCAAAGAGAGTTTTGGAGAAAGGGATCCCTGAAGAAATATATCTATCACATTGCCAGTAGACGTCCTCATGTCACTTCCCTCACATCACAATTGCTTTTCTCTAAACTTTCACATTTAAACCTCCAGTTCTTTAGTCGACCTCTAAGTGTTTAGATATGCAGACTTATCGCCAATATCATGCTCTGGCAGCGCGCCTTCGATTCCAGTCCAGGCAGCATCAAAAGAAGGGACCAAATCCAAGTCTCCATTACCACTCATTTGTAGAGAATCAGGCGTCAGAGTCATCTTCTCGTGGTTCGTCTCAGGGGCAATCAGATATCGAGTATGAAGGATTGCATCTGCATGAGACCTCGGAGTCTCTCCATGGAACATCCACAAGGCTAGCGAATGCCCTTCCCGGCATCATCGAGGACGATTCTCATCCTACCAAGACCTTTCTTGTTAAGTTCGAAGGCCCTGATGATCCTCTATGTCCTCGCAACTGGTCGCGGACGAAACGCATCTTATACACCTTCAACGTTGGTCTTATCGCCCTGGTTGTCGGCACAGCAGCCTCAATCGATTCGGCCGTCATTCCTCAAGCGGCAGCGGACTTTCGGGTCAGTGAAATTGTGGAGGCTCTTGCGACAGGATTGGTAAGTCGGACGCAAACAATCCTCTCCTGGGAAGAAGTTTTGACTAACTTGACGTGATTCTGTTTCTCTTATAGTTCCTGTGTGGCTTTGGCATTGGTGCTCTGATTGCCGGGCCGCTGTCCGAGACCGTGGGCAGAAACCCAGTCTACCTGGGCTCTCTGACACTGTACATGTTCTTCATCATGGGTGCTGGACTGTCCCATTCGATTGAAGGACAGTTGATATGTCGCTTTTTGGCAGGGTTCTGTGGCGAGGCGCCATTATCCACAGTTGGAGGCTCCATTAGCGATCTCTGGGACCCGCTGCATCGATTGATTGCCTTTCCCATCTTTGCAAGTATGGAACAGTGCCATGATTCCCCGGCCTCTGCATTTAAGAGGATTACTGACACACATTCTCCATAGCATTCGGGCTGATGGGCCCTCTCATGGGACCGATCATTGGTGGTTTTATATCGGAGTCACACCTCGTCTCATGGCGATGGACCGAATGGACAACTCTAATCATGTCTGGTACACTCTTGTCCTCGCTATTTCTCTTTCAACCGGAGACATATGAGTCGATTCTCCTCAAATGGAAAGCACACCATCTGCGACGCATCACAAAGGATGGCCGCTTCAAGGCTCCATGTGAGCTCGACAGCCAGGCCACTTTCCCTAGGCGGATGCAGATGGCGTTGAAACGACCCTTCCTGATGATTATTCAGGAACCGACCATTATGCTCTGGACGGGCTATTTGACTGTGATATACATCATGCTGTTCGGTTTTCTGGATGGGTACACATACGTATTCCAGGACACCTACTCACTGTCGCCAGGTATCACAGGTTTGTTATTTGTAGGAATAGCTGTTGGACTCACGCTCGCATCTGTTGTCCTGACTCCGCTGGTTTTCCGATGGGCCAAAAAGGAGATCAACAACTTGAAATCACGAGAGAGTGGAGAGCTCAGTCGTCTTCCACCGGAGTTCTTCCTGTGGTACGCCATGCTAGGAGCACCAGCCATCCCCATCTCGTGTTTTTGGATGGGCTGGACGGCATACGCTAGTATTTCCATCTGGTCCCCCATTGCCGCATCGGTTCTGTTCGGTTTCGGGATCCTGTCGGTTTTCCTCTCGACATACCTCTATCTCATCGACACCTATGAGGTTTATGCCGCCAGTGCTTTGACCATGATCACCTTGGTGCGGTATGTTGTCTCTGGAGGAATCATTGAGGCGTCTATTCCCATGTACGAGAACTTGGGCGTACATTGGACTTTGACTCTCTTGGGGTCGATTGGCGTCACATTCACCTTTGTCCCATACATGTTTTACAAATTTGGCCCGCAAGTTCGCTCCAAGAGTGGCTTTGCAAAGACAACTTGATGTAACTTTTGACTCAACGAATGACCAGGTGCATACATCCCCTATTTCTTAGGTGCTGAATCCAACATCTTCAGAACAGTACGCCACCATAGTGGTTCAGTGACAAGTTTCCAGGCACATGAGCGAGCGGTATGACAAGACCTGCAGGGTGGGAAGGGGGGAAGTATCTGGCGAAATGGGTTCCATCCGTGATCTGATTTCTCAACTAAGATCTCGATTTTCCCGTGTCTCCTCAGTAATAAATGATTCCTTCTGCTGAAGAATCAGGGCTTCTTAAACATGAACGGAGAAGACTCAACGCACTTTCGTACGCCGGCACATTTGCGCAAATAGTGGTTTTCGATAGTGCATCGACGAATCGTTCTAGAAAGTCTTGGTCGTCAAGATCATTCCGGATCGATGAAGCAAGACCCAAAGTAAGGGCACTGCTTAAGGTGACATGAACGAAGACCCACGATCGTCGGATCGGGCAGCTCAACCTGAGAAGCTCCAAGTACGAGCGTAAGACGGAACGACATCGATCCAAATGAAGTCGTGCAAGTTCGCTGTCGTGCCCATCATCGCTCGTGAATAACGCAGGGCGGCATAAAGAGAGCATAACTGAATCTGAGAAAAAAAGGAAAAGGTAGTGTTGGATATAGTCATCTCGATTCAGACAGAGAGAGATATTCCGCATGTGCGGTGAAGACTGAGTCTCGATTCGGTTGATGGATTCCCTGTACTTCCAAATTGTCGACAGAGATAGAGGCTTCCCGGAGGCCTTGGCTCGGTCTTGAGCCTGGCTGATTTTATTTGCTATCACAAACAGATGATGGCAGCTGTCCGAGAAATTGTACAAGCGTTCTTGGGTCGAATCGGGGGTCGAACTAAGTGGCAGGTCTTCCAGGAGAGTAATAGCCAGTGGTCGGTCGTAAGATAGAGAGACCAATGTATCCTGCCATATGAGTGATCGCCTGAAGAAGTCCCATTGAGATTAACCCAGAGCATACCTAACCAAGAATGGGGCAATAGCTCACCAAATAAATAATCCGACGGAGGCCTCCTCTCGATCTTTTGGATTGGTGATTATGCTTGGACCCGGTGAACGATGGATGCCTAAAGTCTGTGCAAGACGGATAGTCAATCCTGTGTATCGTCAGCATTAGGCATGGCAGTCCATGTTGAGAAAGAAAGAAAGAAAGACCACTGTCCATTCTTACCCAGTACGGACCAAGAAGCTCCAGCATCTGCTTGATTTCTTAAAAAGTTGACCAGCATGATGAGAGCTTGAATAATCTCAATGTTAGGGAATGAAATGAAGTTACTCATTTTCAGACACTGGAAGGAGCAGCAGGCTAAAAGGTTACCGACAAAGGTCAGCATTTCGTTTAGAAGAGGACCTTTAGCGAAGCCGTGTACTATGTACGCATGGCCTTACCAAATACACGAGCCTTCATCACTTCCAAGCCTGTTTGCGAGGATGACAGTTGTACGCCACAAGCCAGGATGCCGAAGAGCACGGCAAACCACGAAGGGGTACAATGAACTGGGGGATTGGACAATGCGTCGGTTAGAGATGTCGACCTTTTCTCGAGAAATTGGTTCAATGTAGTCTCAAATCGGGGGAAGTCGATGATCGAAGGTAAAATCCGAAACAACGAGTACCGGCAGAAGCGGAAGCAACTTGAATGCATTAGCAGCCGAGGAGGAAGGAAACATCAGAATCTGTGTCGTGGCCCGGCGTACCTTAACAGGGTTTCATCTTCTGGCAAAGCACTGAGCACCTTCTCGGGTCCATCTTCAGGGCCCCATAGGTTGGTAAACGGAAACCCGGAGCTGGAATCCTGGAGACACAGTAGCTCAAAAATGGTTTGAGGGTTTGTACGCCGATTGAAAGACACCGATCGCGGACCTTGTTGTTCTTCCTGGCGAGTATTCAGACTTTGGTATATAGAGAGAAGATGGGGCAGAGAGTCGGGTCCGACATGTAACTTGGAATTGTATGGTGGCATAGGATCGATATAAAGCCCCTGGCCTCGTTCGCAATTTGCCCATATGTTGTGGCTACATTGGGAGTCGATGCTCCTCACGCCCAAATCTTGGGCGTGATTCATTGCTTCATTGCAAGTGAGTGGCTGGATAGTGTAATCACACAAATCTGGGTGTCCACGGACACTACAGCTCCCACATGGCTCGCTGAGATCACATTTGACCTTTCTCCGCCTGCATGGATAGCAGGCTTTGGTAAGACGGAATCGTCGGCGCTTCCTGAGTTGCGCGTCAATTTTGAAGGTATCGGAGTCTCTCATCGAGATTTTTTGAGGCATAGCTCGCAAAACAGGAATGTTTGGAAATGTGCAGTGTTTCAGAAACCGCCCACTACTAGGTACTTCCGAGAAAAGGATCGTCGTTCAAGGTGATTAGCTAATACTAAACTCGTGAAGCTCCGGCGTTTGCTTTTATGACAGAGGTACCACGCAAAAGCCGAGGCCCTCGATCTCATATCTACTTGGCTAAAGTGTAGTACGTAAGGACTGCACCATATCTTTTCTTATCTTCTTGATTGTGATTTCAGTACTATACGTCTTTGATTACTGTAAGAGGGACTTTGGTTTCACCTCGAAATAGCGCCAGGCTCGCCTTTCCCTCAAAGAAACTTCTGAAATTAAGCCACGTGCTGGTGTGAATGATTTGGATACATGGGCTTAATGAGCAATACCATGTATATTCGCTCGGCGATAAGCACATCATTCTGTTCAGAATATTGACCGCGGGGATTCAGCATTCAATGTCCTTTGTAAAGGGATGAGCCTCACTCTTGATTAGCACCTTGCGGAACGGCGACATCCAATGCGCAGCTTTCAAATCATTACTCAGTTCTTAATTCTAGGTACGTAGTAGTCTGTTCTCGTTCCTACACTGCCGCAATTTTCGGGTTTACTTTTGGAGCCTTTTCTGAGTACCTTTGATAATGCTTTAAAGGTCTAACACTTCTGTAATCTCTGTAAACGTCCTCGTTCACTTGTAACTTCCTGTTAATCTCCGCCGCTCAGTTATCCTTGCTCCCTAATACTCGTACAGACCTCCGCGATATTCACAGGGTGCCAGATCAATTCTGTAATTAGGACTGCATTACCCACTTCATTGCTTACACTAGGCGCGCAACAGCGCTATCATTCTCGCAAAATTTGATCGATTGTATGCCTCTCTATCTACTTATTGCTCCTTACGCTGCAGGAAAAGCAGAGATACTCACATCTCTCGCGTACTCGTCAGACAATCATAGCACCCTTGGCAGAACCCGCTGCTTTTCTCTCTATAATATAGGTAATTGATCTTGAAAAGAGTACTTACTTCTATAATGATACCTAGCTAATAAGAGACAATTGTCTTTCAGTGTGCTAACTTATAACTCGACCTACTTCTATGTGCTATAGTGACTCGTTCAGGAGAGCCACGAGGTGTCCAATACCTAGCTATCTCCAGTGTCAACTATGGCTTACTCGTACGAGTTTTTCTTCGAGCGAGGGCACCTTCGCGCGAAACTAGAGAGCATTTCTTCTGTTATGGGTCAATGCTCACTCATTAGTCTCCTGTTAAACCTTGTGATTATTCCGTCCGTACGAGATCCATTCGGGATGCTTTGTGTAATGTTAGCGTCTCAATGACTCTTCACGTCAGCTGAGAAAATATTTTTCGGCGTTGTATCGCAAATTCGGATGAAAAGCGGATACAAGAATGCTCAGTAAAGTATAAAGATCAGTAATGGCGCTCTTGCTCACCATTAGTATACCTCTCTCTATTGACACCTTTAACAAAACGCGAAGTCACACCCAAAGTGATATTTAACACAATATCTTCATGGCTGAGAAATTCCAGATTAAAGTAAGCATTTCTTTATAGAGATTAATTAACTACTACCTAACACAGGTTTTCTTAGGGCGATACTAATAATCGTCAAAGTTCTGGCGGTAATGTGACCCGAGAAAAGCCTACCGATATTTTCGGGTCTGAACATGACCTAAAAGAAGAAAGCGATGCCGAAAGAAGCTTCATCATGAGCGATAAAGAGACATTCGGTCATCAAGATAATCGTGCTTCAGACTATGAGTATGGCATGGGGTCAGGGAGACCAGCTAGTGAGGGGGAAAAGGGTGAAGGTTTAGGTCTTAACTCTGGTGATCACCATCAATCCAAGATGAAGGAACTTTTAGATGATGCAGGGCGCATGTTGCACATGGAAAAGCGAGGCAAGAAGGATTAGTAGAGGCACAAGGCAAGCCGGAATGGTGGAAACTGTCATTACTAACATCTATCACCGGATTCAGTAGAAGGGTCGCGTCTTTGACTCTCACACAATCGCAAGGCTTAGTAACTTATACAGTGTCAGAGTGGGAGACTGTAGGCATCATATCTTTAACAGAGGAATAATATCTCTTAAACAAGTCAAAATAACCCTAGACCCTTTGTATACATTATTGTGAAGGGTTGTTTATTCGCGAGGAACGCTAACTAGGTATAGTTTTATGCGCAGGAGACCTTAATATGTATACTGTGCGTACCTCATCCAGAAGATTAAAGGTATAATATACTATTGAACCTCGCAGCACCTCACCACTAATTACGAATAGATATGATTGGTGTTCTTATATGGAAATCGATAATTTGAACGAGTCTCTTTTCGCGTGAAGACAGCCGGATCCAGCATGGCGATCAAACTTACACCTTTGGAGGGAACAAGGGTAAGGTTCAGCAGTTTGGCATGATCGCAGCGGTGACTTAGCGAAACAAAAGCATTATTAATCTCGTGTACAAAACCCGCACATCTGTAGCAATTGAAGTTGGTCCGACTCTAAATCCGTCGCATCCGCTATGACGTTAGATTTTTTGCATGGTCTGCTTCCCGCTGATTGATATATGCGCAGTTAAGATATTTTCTTTGCAAAATTATCTATTCAAGAAGAGCTGAAGTAGTAATGAACCCTGGTAGAAGTCTCTCACTATGGACCAGATTCGAGCTGCGTACTTTAAGTGCTGCCGATTTCTTGTGGCGAGACCGAAGCCCTATAGGCTGGCGGGGACTCCAGAATAATAGTTTCCGAAAGACTCATATCATCATTGTCACTTGACATGTTGTTTTCGTGAGTATTGTTGCCAAAATCCGTGACCTGGCTACGATCTTCGCGGCTCAGTAGTGTGCTAGGCGTATCTGACTCGAAATTGACCAGCTGAATGGGAATTCCATTTTCCGTACAGGTAAGTCTTTCTTTCCCATAATTCATTTGACATTTCACATCCAGAGAATAAGACTGGAAAATATTGTATGTGCAGAATTCGGGTACGAGATTCGTCCTGTCTAGTATTGTACTAGTGGCACACTTGTCAAGGTAAGTTATCTCGAGCCCTCTCTCGGTCACGAAGCGAAAATATTCATCATTACCGTGGAACTTAGTTTTGCCATCGTAGTTTTGAAGCTCTAGCGGATCGGCCTGATGAACAGGGATGTTACATATTTCCTCGATTAGACAGATGCGTCGGCATTCAGAAGCTCGTACCGATCTGGCGCGGACTTTCGTATGCGAGACGAGGTCCAGTCTTAGGCTCCGTATCTGAATGCCAAAATGGGATCCATCTTTGCTAGAATGTGTCGCTCGGACCGCTACCGGGACTGGAGTTTGTGCTTGGAGATTGATGAAGTTCGGAAGCAAGATATGAATCGATAGATATAGATTATTGAGAGGGAGTGAGGAAACTAGGCCTCCATTGCTTGTCCCGAAAAGCTCCGGTGTAAGAGAGCGCATTCGATGTGCTCTGTGGGATGAAGAGCAGAAAAAGGTTTGATGGTGTGATTGGAACCGTGGAAGAGTTGACACTGGAGAGAAAGCTATTGTTGGCAGAGGCGGACGGACCGTAATTTCCGTGTATGCAGTCATATCCATGCCGGAAAGGAGATGCGAACTAGGTGGTTGAATCAATCTGGCCTGAATGACGTACTCAACGTGACAGTTGAATTTCCCTTTGTAGGAAAAGCTGGGCGGAAGAGGGATCGTTTCAGCATCACTAGATCCCCTCCAAGGAGATTCACAACTGAAGACGCCGTCGACGTTCGTAGTATTGGTTTCGTCTCGATAGAGAAAAGTAGAATGCCGAGGCAATTGGAAAGTGAATGGCCAGAAGAACGTCTGCCCCGCATAGAAATGAAGTCCTCTTAGAAGAATGATGTGTTTTCTGCAGAGATACCCGCAAGAACTTGCTCGTTTTCTTCCAGCACGAGCAATTAAAACCACTGAGCGTCCAAAAAATGACATTGAAACAGACTCTGCATGTCCTTCGCGAGGCGCAGCCAAAGTCACAACCCCGTTCAAATGATCTCCAGGGCAGAAATACCCACGTTCATTACCAGAGAGTACAATTCTGAACGTCATGGAGGCCGGTAACGTAGCGTGATGTATTAGGCTCTCAAGCGATATAAGACCTTCGTGAAGTAGGTCCAAATGTGGGCTACACTGGACGTTGGCATGGAGTTACTTTCGCACATATTAAAATCATGAAAATGGTCCTATAAGAGAATATATAATAAAGTCGATTTGTCAGAGTTGTTTTCGTTAAGGCCTTCAGCTGCTCATAGAATATCTTCTCCAGTCCAGAGCGCAAAGTGAGCATGTTATTAGTTTAGTCTCAGTAGGCCGGATTCTCTATGTTGATCATGAAAATCTTATGCTTGATTAGACGAGTGGTGTCAGCCCAGTCAGTGGGAGAGTCTCATGATCTCCCAATCGCGTTCGGAGCTTCATGTCTGTGGTGTCGTATGCTTTGTCGCACGAGCTGACGTAAAATGACCCTTTACTGGTGCTCGTACGAGCTCTCTGAAGCTCTAATAGGACCGCGTCATTCTCTCCATCAAATACATACTACGCACTAATTCAGACAAACCCATCATATGAAAGTTTGCCTTACCAACCTGTTGAAGTGGGTCTGCGCACGGCATAAAGTGATAATGCCCAAGAGCATCTTGTCTCTCACGCAGACAGAGACAGGTGAGGTATGATAGAGTAAGACTCATGGTCTCATACACGAGCCACTCCATGGTTGACGAGAACAGCAGACATATCCGGTATACATACAGTGTAAGAACAGTCGCATCTCCTGTACCTGTGACATTAGCAAAATTGTAGACCATTCAGAGAGTCAAACCTCGTCCGAAAGCCAGCTCGTGTTCTTCGTGCCGCCAACAACGTCCCAAATGAATGAACAGAGAGGTCTCCGTTCTGGAAACAATTGTATGATATATTTGATTCACCTGTGTTTGCTAACATTCAGAACCGTTCTCAGCACATGAACCGCGCATTGGTCGTCAGAATAGCCATGCAAAGGGCCGGATATTAACCTATGTAGGTGGACGATCGGTCTACATCTTAACTTCGCTTCTGTTAAAGGCCCGTTGCACTCAATCTTTAAGACTCCTGTCTACTAAGCTCTAACATTAAGGATGGCGAAATTATCTCCCAAGAAATTATCCTGACCCTTTAGCGGCCCATCGATTCTAATAGCTATTCGGGTCGTGATAGAGCAAAATTTCGCCTACTTTGATTCTCCGTGATTTGGCCCGGTATCTCTTTCAATAAGTGTAAGCTTTACAGAATGAAGTATAATATCTCGTGCGTAATGGCACTTTTACCCAATAGTGAGGTTTACGAAGCATTATGTAGTCTCTTCTTCTCCACGATCTTTCCCTTGATATCTCTTCTGCACATCCGAAAGTTTGAAGAGGATTTTAATGACTTCTAGGACGATATACAAATAGGAAATGTGCATAAGGGCGACTCTAGTCTTCTTTTACTTAAGAAGCTAGGCTTGGTCCTGGATATTCGGCCCACGGCCCCCAACGGCCAACTTTGGCCAAACCGCGGCCAAGGACCCTTGCAATAACAGCTAACAGCGAAAACATCGCTGTAAATTATCACCCCTTGCACGGGGAAACTCAGGTACCTTATGCACCTTTACAGCGAGATTTTTCCCGAGTTTCCCAGGGACCAACAATAGTGGCTAGTGATGCCGGGAAAAAAGCTCTCAGCCAAGCAAGGCCACACTTCCCCGTGACCATCTGTGGCCCCAAGCCCAACGCTTTCTGTTGCAGGTACGAGCCCGCACCCACAACCGTTGGTGACCAGACAATCACACTCCTACAAATTCCTGCGCGATTTCAAGAGAAGCTGGCCAAGTGGTCCATTATTGAACTGTCCGTCTCGCCCAAATTCCCCATTGGCGGAACGAAGGCTGTAAACGCGTTTCCCGCGAAGCCAAGTCTCAAGCCCTCTGCCCTTTAGCGTACGTCCTTGGTGTGGACTCATTTTGTGCCTGGTTTTAAGTCGGCCAAGTCGATGGCCCTAAAACGGTCGGGATCGAAAACCAGCATGTCTCCGTCATAGCCGACGCGCAATTGGCCCATTTAGTGGTCAACAAGCCTGGTTGAATTATGTGAGAGTAACTGCATGAGTTAAGGAAGAGTTCTCTCGACAGTCGTGCCCTGACTGTCGGTCTTCTCGGTGTCGGACGTGGACCCTCTGCGAAGAGTTCAGTCTAGAGCAGAGGCAGACCCAGGCCAAGAGACTAAATGCCACCTCAGGCGGTCATGAAATCGCTATTCGCACGGCTTATAACCTCCCCGTGATACATAGGAGGGTCAGCATGCGGAAGAATGTACGACAGCAGAAGTTTGGCTGCCACATGGAGAATGATTCGAAACAACCACGGAAATCGGCTGGTGAAGCAAGGGAGAAGACTCGTCTGGCAAGCAATGCTCGTCCCAGCTTCGGGCTAGGCTTTGCCACAGCTCCTTCCTGTTCCTGTTGTTCCGAATCGGCGGCTCGTCTTTGAACCGAGTATCACGCAGGAGAACTTCTTCAGCTCTCAGAGTTAAATAATGACAACAGGCCTCGGTGGAGATGTTGATCCCACGCTTCTGCGCATTTCTGATGATCGGTAGCACCTCCGCTGACGACACGTGTGCAATATAAACATGTGGTGTGAGAACCGCAATTGCCAGACGAATGAGCTCACGGACGGTGGTCGTCTTAAGCACTGGGGGCCGGCTAGTGAGAAAGGTCGAGTATTGGTACATGTCGGTCTGTAAAGGTTCGGGATACAAGATCGGAGGCCCCTTCTCACGGAGATCCTTATTAATATTGCCACCAGTGGGCTTCGCCATTGGAGTCATTTCCGCATGAAACATCAGCATTGTGGCCTGCGATGCAAGCTCAATCATGGCTTCTTTGATATTTAAAGGCGACACTCGGGGAATTAAGGCACCTACTAATCTAGCAAGATAATGATAATCGGTCAAAATGGAAAGGGTTCTTTAACTAACCCCGATGTCGACGAGTAAGCCTTTGTATCGACATACTCCTGCTTGAACCATAGGTCGTAGGTCTTTCTTGCTGCCGGAATGAGTCCACCCATGAATCCAGCGACCACCCAACACTTTCCCTGAGCAGCGCGAATTTTTCTATGATGACTGACCACGTTCTGGTGTCGAATTCAGTGCCGTATCAAGCACCGTCGTTATCCCACCCGCTGCATCAGCCTGGATGCCGGTGAAAACCCCTTTCGGCGAAATTCGACCGGCCTCATTCAGATGCACATGAGTCTCCAGAAGGCCTGATGTAAGGATTAAAGCACCATAGTTGATAATGGTACAGTCCTGGGGGAATTCTGGCCGCCGGCACTTGTACTTGTGTATGCAGATGATGCGACCCGTTCGTTGGCATATGGCAATCATCGCCGGCTTGCCGCGGCGTGGAAGGACGACATTTTCTGATGTGAATATGGTCCAAGTGTGCGAGCTGTAGTCTATATTTGTGATACAGGTTGCACCGTATGGGCACACACGTGAGCTATTGAAGTAATAAATGGGCAATATGTGTGCTGAGTATGAACAAAGAAGAATACGCAACGGGAAATTCTACGAGAAAGAGGTATTTATATGCGTTCTTTCAGTAACCCAGCTGAGTTAATTTTCTTCTCCTTCGTCGAGTGGATTCATCCTGAAAGGTGCAATTTACAGAATTAGTATGACATTCTAGCAAGCTGCAACCAAGGTTTACAAAAATATGAAAGGCAGAATGCTGAGATAGTGTCAAGCGCCGCATCAGTATTATATAATTAAACCGAATATCTTAACTTGAAAATTATGTTACGCATCAATTATACCACAAGGTCTTTTCAAACTCTACTCTATGAATTCCCAGATATTTAAACTAACTACGCTCAGATTAAGACAATAATGAGTTACACCCAGACTTTTAGATTCCCGAGAAGCTCGTCTTCCATAATCCAACCCTTAGTAAAACCAGCGATAATGAGCACTTTCTGGACCTTCTGCAAGTAGCTCAGAGGGAATATCGATAGCCTTCACCGTCCTTCCATCCCTCTTGTCACGTCTCTTGTTGTCAATGACCATCCACGCTCCCAGAAGCAGTGTCAAGAAGCAGCCACAGGCGCCAAACACCGCAGTTGTGATCAAGGCCGGGAAGTACTTGGGTGCGTCCTTGTTCTGGAAGACGTTACTGGAGACAACGCCCATGAGATTGGCCACGGGGACACCAATGCTTGTCAGCATCATTCGTTTGTTTTCGTCAGCAATGTTGTTGTTGTACCAAACATCTAGAATCACACTGGGAGCGCTTGTACCCCAAGTCATCATGAAACATGCAAAATAGGCGACGTTCAGTTGTGAAGTGACGTTGACCGTGGCGTAGATGATGAATCCGATAAAAGTAAAGGCAAAACCCAGGGCGACAAAAGGGAATCGCAGTCGTGTCAAGTCTGAAGCAAAAGACAAGATGAGCAGCATAGCTGCACCCGACACATTGGGTGCGACGGTGTATAAGTTGGTCTTCACCGTTGAATAACCCAGGCGTTTGACGATGACGGGTAAGAAGAGCGAAACTGATTGTAAAGGAACACCCAGACAAATCTCAATGCCGAGAATGATCCAGCTAGTTGGGTGCTTCAAGATCGCGACGGCAGATCTGAAATTGAACTTCTCACCAACGACTGAAGAAGAATCAACCTGGATCCGGTAAAAGGCGAGTTGCTTTTCTTCTGCCGTGAGGAATTTGGCGCTCTGTGCGTCGTATGGGAGGTACCAAAAGGCGAAAATGGCGAACAGCATGGAGCAGCTACCCTCAATAATGAAGAGGTAGCGCCAGTCGGCCAGGCTACCCGACTTGATTTGAAAGACTCCGTAGGATAAAAGCCCACCAAAAGCCGACGCGATTGACTGAGCTGCATAGAAGATGGCTAGTCGACGAGCTAGCTCTCCACGTCGGTAGAATGTGGTCTGGTAATAGATGACCAAAGGGAAAAATGCTGATTCGGCCATACCGAGGAACCAACGAAGGGCGAGGATACCGCCAAAGTTCTTTGCGGCAACCACCATCAGAGTGAAGAAACCGAAGCAAAACATCATGATGGGGAGAACTCGGCTCGGACCATATCGTTTGCCTGCGATGCCGAGGAAAGGAGCTGTAAGCACATAGGGGATGAAGAAGATTGAGAGAATCAAGTTGTATTGATCTCCTTTCAGACCCAGATCATCTTCGAGACCGGCGGTTTTCGCATTACCGAGGTTCGACTTATCCAGAGAGTTGAATAGATACATGACTGCGAGAGTAGGCAGGATGCGTAGGTCAAATTTCCAAACCAGTCGTCTCTCCGCCACAGCGTCGATAGCGATGCTGGCAGAGACCTGACGAATGTTGCCAGCTGCAGAGACAGTCATTACTCCATCATCCAATACCTTGATATCCTTGCTATCTGTTAAGGGGTCTGCCTCGACTCCTTGGTTCTGTTGGATCGACATGTTGGCGCAATAATAGAAACTGTGCCAAACCCGGTGGAGGCGGAGAGGGCAAGAGACCGACGATATAGGCCGATAGAGGACAGATGGGTTGCTGAACTGCTGAGTGTCGTTGAGACTTGTTCATGAGGCAGCTTCAATGCTCGACAGTGACATCTTATATCAATGCTGAGTCTACAGAGTAGCTAAGCTGCAGATCCTTTTGACCTAAATGTTTGCGCTTGTTGGGGCAAAGCTCGCGAGGCTGGTCCCAACACGGCCAACAAAAGTGGAGACGCGCAACGAACCTTGATAGCCACCTTTTCCAGCGGCCAGCAGGAGAAGGTCAGCGGCCAGCGACAGCAGATACTGCCATGCTCCCACCATCTGCGAATTAAATATCCTGCTGCAGTGCCCACTGGCTAGTGCCCGCTATGATTCGCCTAAATGGGAACCCTCGGGCAAGCCGCCCTGGTACTCCGACGCCAACGCGGAAGATTAAAGAGGTGACGAAGCGTTGGTAGTAGCGGCCAATGGCGCCTGGATTGAAAAACCCCTGTACAATATTGTCTGCCCATGTTACAATAACGCATTAATCGACAATGCTGAAATGACGATCCCGTTGGCAAATCATGCCCGTGGGCTAAGATGGCACTGCAAATTTTCACCATCAAATAGCATGAACGTACTTAGGAGTCTCGATTGTGCGCTGAGAAGTCTTGAATTTGTACAATCATTAAGCACAGCCATACCGTCCATTTCCAGAATCACGAGTAAAAAAGACGTTTATACTCATAAGTATTCACTTTCAAACATCACAACCGTCTGAATGTCCGCCCCTTTGCTATCAGAAAGCCTACACCGCAGCTCAGAATCGACTGATGGTCGCCAAACAGCATCTGTCCCGATTCCTGGCCGGAGACAACTGCCTGAGATCATCAATGGACAGCACCGCTTTTCAGTTGGCGGGGTGTTTCCAACCCTAAGTCGCAGATCTTCGAGCTCGTCTCATTCCAGCGACGTGGATATTCAGCGACTTACTCTCGATTTCGCTCAAGTCAGTTCTTTCGGATCAGGAACATTCCTTGATACAGGCATGCCAAGGCACAATTTCAGCAACCAATGGCCAGAGACGACTCCGAAGCTCTCAAGAACTTCCATAACCGAGACACAAATATACGGTACATTCGGCGAAGAGGACCGAGAGTCAGGTGCGCTCATCGAAGATGGCGATGTTGACGAGGATGAAAGGTTCATTGGAATAAGTACCACCCGATTCTGGCTGCTCTTCGTGGTGATTGCATTGAGTTACTTTATTGCTTGTTTCGACTCAACGCTCATGGCTTCCAGCCATCCGGTGATCACGTCTTTCTTTGGAGCTTCTCAAGCTGCGTCTTGGCTAAGCACTGTCTTCTTGATCACAAGCACGGCTTGTCAGCCGCTGTTTGGTCGGCTCTCTGACACGATCGGAAGAAAGCCAGTGTACTTGTTATCACTTGCTATCTTCGGCGGAACTACAGCCTGGTGTGCTCTTGCGAACAGCATTGAGAGCTTTATTGCAGCAAGAGCAGTCTGCGGCCTTGGAGCTGGAGGAACGATGTCCCTGAGTTTGATCATTATCAGTGATCTTGTCCATATCGAGCATCGTGGAGTATTTCAGTCCCACATAAATCTGGCCTTCGGGCTAGGTTCTGCGTCTGGGGCAGCGCTGGGCGGTTGGTTGTGCGATAGTCTAGGCTGGAGGTCGGCATTTGGGATTCAGATCCCCCTGATCGCTGTTTGCTTCATCATGGCCTTCATGTTCACACCGTCACACCTGGGGCCCATGCTGGTGACAACAACTGAAGGCGGTGCCTGGGAAGCCATGAAGAGTTTCGACTATCTTGGCTCCGTCTCACTCTCACTGACAGTCACATCGCTTATCTTTGCTCTGAATCTCGGCGGGAATCTTCTTCCCTGGAGCTCACCTGTGGTAGTGTCCTGTTTTCTCGGATGTATCGTCATGGGGTGTCTCTTTGTTTACGTCGAAACGCGCACTACATATCCACTAATGCCGTTACACTTACTGTGCAAAACACCAGTCGCAAACCTGGTCTTCGCCAATCTTCTTGGAGGCATCGCCTCCAACACCGTCTTGTTCAATTTGCCACTTTTCTTCCAGGCTGTCTTGCTCACGTCTGCATCCAGTTCAGGCTTTCGGCTTGCGTTGCCCAGTCTGGTGGGCTCATTCGCGGGGATCTCCACAGGGTATATCATCACTTATACCAGACAACTCAAGCCAACGCTAGTTGCTGGTGCAGCTGTATACCTGCTCGGGTCTGTGGCGACTTGTGCGATTAGTAAACATACGTCGCCGACCCTGACCCTTCTTCTTATCACCGGAGTGCCATTGGGACAGGGTTTTGTTTTCCCAAACACTATGATGAGTGCTCTTGCCGTCTCTGAGCAAGCGCAACAAGCAGTGGTCACCACGACCATTGGCCTATGGAGAAATTTCGGAATTGTACTGGGTGTGGCTGTCTCGAGCTTGGTTTTCCAGAACAGCTTAAATGTTCATCTGAGACGCATGGTAAAGGACGGGAGAAATGAGGACCTTATCGAGAGGGTGCGCTCATCTGTCGAGTCCATAAAGCTGCTCCCGCAGCCCTTGAGAGACCGAGGTAAGTTGACATTTGCCGTACCACGTTTATCGGTTTCTTTCACTAACGCTACCCAGTGACGGACGCTTACGCCGCCTCCCTCAAAACATCATTTTTGTGTGCGGTAGCGGCTTCCGTAGTGATGATCGTCCTACTTATCCCCGTCCAGTTGCCGCGCTTAAGGAGAGGCCGTCAGGCGATAGGTAGCACTGCAGAGTGACGAAATCGGCGTATCGGCTGACCTGACAGATGAGATATGAGATCTCGGTACTGCCGTACGGAAGAAGATCAATCAAATCTCAGTCATTGCCATTGAAAGCCGTTGGATCCACCGATGGAAGTCCAGTCTGCGGAGAAGTCTGCATCATTCAAGTGCTCGGTGAGGGTATGAGGGAAGAAATCGTACGAAAAACCCGACCACGATGTTTCGGGAGAAGTAAATGTGTTGAAGAGCCCAACACTTGACTCGTCGTTACTTTTAGGCCCTTCCCCGGCGGCATCTTCAGGCATAACGTCGGTAGATTTTGTCAAATTCTTTGTCATCAAGCCCAAAGCGGATGCAGCAAATCTTGCAGGCCAAAAGCTCACACCATGGGCGGCAAGCAACTTACGATAGTACGCTAGCCTCTCATCCCAATATCTGGCACGTATTGTGTCGGCTGAGAGTCTCTTGAGGCTTGCCATGCAGGTACCAATGAGTGTAAAGTTGAAACCAGAATCTAGAATGGCCAATTAGCTGTTTTGCGTCATAGCGCTTCTTGAGCACTTCATCTAGGAAAAATAAAGAGGACACTCACAGGACCACCAGAATGCGCTAAGACGGTTTATTTGCAATGTCTCAACTAGTGTGATCGTACGAGAGGTGATGTCGACGCCACGGTTAACCTGAACGTCGAGAGGAAGGTTTCGCCGATACAACTTTGGGAAGATGCCTCGAAGGAGCATCACTCGAACCGTTAGGAACGCGATTTCTAGGCTACCTATCGAACTCCGGTCAGCTTCTGCGAGTATATTATAGAGATCATTCCATGGATTTGTCACTCACCTGTTACATCAGGAAAAGTACGGTGGATGAGGATTTGGTCGAGAAAAGTCGCACGCCAATTATCCAACTTCGCCTCGATCCTTTCAGCGATGTCACAGATATGTTCGCCAGTAGCTTCTCGGAGCCGGACCACCGAGCTTAGGGTGAAAAAAGCGGCCAGGACCTCTTTGAGGATGGTCGTTAATTCAGCCATAGCAACAAAACAGTGTACACCCGTAACCAGCTCAGGCCTCCTAAGCTGGTCTTCGGCTGAGTCTAAGCTGCAATCCTCAAAATCTGCGGCTGTCAGCATGAGCGTAGTCGTGTTCGCGTCATCCAAATATGAAGGCCGCCCGAGAGCCAGAGCGAACCTGGAACGAAAATAAATCAGCAGCCGTGAATGAGAGGCTCGGCAAGTCTCAGCAAGTCACGTACCACTTGTCTTGCATATATACAGCCCACCAGATCCTCCTCCGCCTTCGCTTTGCCGCTGCTGAGATGCTCCACATCGAACAGTCAATGTTGAGACCTAAATCGTGGCTCATTCCGACAATCGTCCCAATGACGGCCCATATGCCTGGGGCGGTGGTACTCCTACAACACTGTCAATTGAGGACGACGTGCGCATTAATCAGCTTACATTTTGCCCCTGAGCGCTCTCTGGGTGAATAGAACCGCAGCCTCAACTGTCTCAAGAGTCGGAGATCGTGCTTCAAGAAGCAAAGATGAAGTGAATTCTTCAATGAGGACGTTGTTGTCTAGGCCGGCCAACTCAGGTGACGTGTATTTCGAGATGATGGCTATGGCTATGGCTAGGAGCCGAGGCTGCTTATCGCTCTGAGCCAGCTGTGCATCTAGTAATGGGTACGCTGGATGCGACTGCTCGAAAAAAATTGACCTGGCCAAAGGAAAATTCGGCTCGATCGAGCTAGCATGATGGTTGGAAGTCTCGGACGAATACGATTGAGTGGAGGCTGATCGTTCCTGCACATCCAGATGGTAGTCAGTCTGATTCAATGATTTCGCAGTCTTGGGTAAAGGTTGGGTCCATACCCTGAAGTAGGCTTCATGCGCAGGGTCATTTCCCAAACCTTGCAAACGATCCACTACAAAGTAGACATCCTCTGTACCGGTGAGTCCGATATATTTCCCATCTACCCCACGCTTCTGGCCAGAGTGCGTGGTTGAAGCGATTGACCTGGGCGGATTCTCGAGAGCCCCTCGCTCCGTAGTGAGCCGGGGAGACTCGCCTGGGACAGAGTCAGGTTCCGCTTGTGGAATTGCGTCCCTGGTCGTTGTGGTGGTTCGATCTGGCCGTTTGCGCGGAGAGGGTTTGGAGTTGAAGGTGCATGGTATTGAGGATCGACTGCACAAGGCGCATGCTCCTTCTGCGTCTCGAACGCAACAGACCCGACGTCGCCGACAGTTATCACAGGGCTTTTGTTTCCTGGACCGATATTTTCTGGCGGGTGCGATATCGCTTGAGGCTGTGATAAACGATGCCATTCCCAACCTGGCATCGACTTTGCAGAAACTCGTTAGACATCAGAATCGTGTCGAGAACCAAACGTCCTTGTAGGTCGAAAACATGCCGTGGCCGGTGCAATGGCCCTCAGTCTCTTGTTGAATCTGGTTCGCGTGATAATCAGCAAGCCGTCCCACGCGCAAAATTCGCTTTGAATCTCCCTATCAACAGTCAGTTGTATGACTAGGTGTCGAGATAAGATAAGCGAAAGATAGCACGGAAAACCGAATACGATTGGTCGACAGGTTATCACTGATGTAACGATTCGTGAGACCCAGGCGCGATGCAACAACAGTGAGAGTAGATCATTACATGAGCTGCTTTAAGAGTGAGCTTCTCCTGCACCTTTGGTTTGCAGGGCCGACACAGCTCCATAAGACTGTACAAGTCTTTAGATCTCGAGGCCATACAAGTGGAAAGGTTTGATTGATTGACTGATTGATTGCTTTTCATATGCCCAGGCGGACTAAGCCCAAGAGGGACTAGCTAATTCTACATGGCTGTGAGCGAACGTCCGGGTTCATGGTACTTCTTGCTGTTGATTCTTCGGCGGCATACGACCCCGCGGCTGCTGTGACCCCCTTGCGAGCTACACAATTCGCCCTCAAGCCTATTCTGCTTGAGTGTTCCTGTTCCTTCATCGGCACAGGAACTGTCGAGTGTGGGCTCGTTCACTTTTCAAAATCGGATTTTCTCCTTTGTGCCACGACTATGCGTTCGAAATGATAGAATTCAGTACGGAGGAGGGCTAAATAAACTAGGTGTTGAGGCCACAGTGCAGTGTTAGGTGTGCACGCAGGCCGAGGCAGTTCCCCGAATAGGACTAGTGCTGCCTATTGCTAGTCACATGATCAGGATCCTGACACTGTTCAGGATCGAGCTTCATCGACCGATGGTTGTCGCTAAACAGATGGTTGCTCTGTCTGTTTTCATGTTTGCCTCTCCATTTCTTGAGCGTTCCGCCGTCCACTCTTTGAATTGTACACTCTCCCAGAAGAAATAACAGATCCTTCCACCGCTCTATGATTGCCTAAAGATATCATTGGCGCTGCAAGGTCCACCGCGTGCACCCCGTCAGAAAGTGTCTCACCGTCTGGAGCTGGCGGCACCATGCACACTGTTCCGAGTCCACCGCTTTGATTCGGTAAAGGTTGCTGTTGAGTCGGTTCTCCCCCGTTCGGAGTTAAGCCAACGTCTGCGATTCGCCACGGTGAGGCTATCATAGAGCGCGCGTGTGCTCTCCCGGGAGAGCTCAATTGAGCTGTTTCGTATACCGGCCACCTGAGCGCTCCTCGAATTGTTTCTTCCGCTCATCATGGGTTCCTTTCGTCTACCTTCTAGTGTCCGATTTCAACTTCGTCCCTGACGGTATCTGTCAATTTAAGTCCGCTGCTCTCGGAGCCAGGTCATGCGTCAGTTCACTACGGCGGGTCGCGGATTCGCTTAGGGTCCATCGGACGACCACCCGTGGCTTCCACGATATGGCGAGACCACCAAGCAACTTGTACATTCTTCGGACAATCTATTGCCCTTACTCTTGCCGTGGTTTCGCAGCTCCCTCCAGTGCCAAGCGGCTTCTGCTGAGGATGCCCACCGGTGTTCTGGGGTCTGTGTCCTGATTCAGGCCAGTGTTGATTCACCACGCGGCAGGTCTCATACAGAGCCACCAGTCCGCCATGGGATGGGTGTTGATCGACGTTTTGGATCCGAGGGTCTCGCTGACCCAAGGAATCATGTAGTATTGTGCTGTATCCGCCTATCCAGATATATTCCTTGTTTCCCTCGTTGCTCGCTGGTCTACGCTTTCGTAGAGTGAGACGGACCAGACCTCTCCTCTAACTAGATGAAAGTCTGTATACCCCTTAAGCATACATCAACGGTCCTCACTGCTACACAATCCGCTTCGTCACAACTCCGACCCGTATATTTCCCGCATGCCCGGCTCCAAACTATCTCTCGTGGACGCTCAGTTTCATCAGCGGTTAATTCTCTTCATCGCTGTTGGGTTGCGGCTGTGAGGGTCCCTTTCATCACGTGTCGAGTCGCTGCAACCAACGGTCTAGTTCCTTAACATTGAGTTATAACCACCTACAAGTAGTTCGCAGACGATCCCCTCTGTCCGGGTTGGGCTGCGACCACTCGATAATCCCCTTCATTAAATGTCGGGTTCCGATCAGCTGCGCCGCGTCAACTTGCTCGCAATCCGACCCGTAAGCGCCACGCACGCGTTTCTCAAAACATCTGTCGCACACTGTTCGTATCCGTCTCGTTTCGCGTTACCTAGTGTCGTCTCCCACATCTAGGCCGTCCATGTCTCGCAAGAGAACCGTGGGAGGATTTCTGCCAGAAACCCTTCTCGCGTTGCAATTTCTTCCTAACCTGGCTTATGTTCCCCCCTTCCGTTGCATTTCTCCACGGTGGCTTGTTCCTTTCAGTAGACCATCGTGCCTCTTCCTCCTTCAGAAAAGGGAGTAGAAAGTAGATGGACAGTCAGACAATCAAGAAGAGCTTTGCAAAAATAATAGGGCTATTGCGTGCTCACCGAGATCAATGACTGTACCCTAAAGATCTAGCTACTCGATCAACTTGACACTCCGTGAATGTCGTGGAGGCCCGTACAGAAGTCAGGCAACAAGAGCGACTAAGCGGCGACTGTCAACGAATGGTCGCGAGCGAAATATCACGTCGACAGAGATCGCAGAAGAGTTGCGAGAATCATAGCGCGAGCCTTGAAAGAGTCTCTGCGCGCAGGGAAGACCTCTGAGTTCGAGGTTGTTGTTGTTGCGTTACAGACATGCCCGCAGTGCACCAAATGCTTCCCCGTCTACTCCTGTTATAATACATACTTGGCGAGTAAGCTTCGTGTGGGTTCTGTGGTGTCATCTGTTCTCTGTTCTATCTACTCGTGGCATTGAGACTCTCTCCGCAGTTACATATCAATTTTCGCGTGGTCGTTTTCTCTCTCTCTCTCCAATAGCGCTATGGTGTCGTTGGTAATCGCATCAAGGTTGGAGATTGTAGATCCAGGGCCCTCGGGGAGCGGGCTGTCAATGTATACTCTCCGAGTGAAGCCTTTGAGCGTTTCCAAAACTGTACCACCTTCATATGCCCCATCCTCGACCAATTGTAGCATGACCTCTGCCTGCTCTTCGGGGGTGATCCAGACGTCCTTTTTGTCGGCCGCCTTCAGCTTCTCGGGGTTATCCGACCACAACGGCGTATAGACCATCCCTGGCGCAACCGCCACCACCTTGATACCGAACTCCTCGTGGAGCGGACCCAGAGATCTCACGATTGCTGAGACTCCAGCCTTGGTGGCGCTATAAATAGGCTGGTTGAAAAGCATACGTTGTGCAGCGAGTGACGAAATGTTGAGAATAACTCCCACAGTCCCTCCGGCTTTGCGGCCCTTGGACCGAGTGATTTGATCTCTGATAGCTAGCCGCGTTCCCTTTATAACTGCTGTAAGATTGATGTCTAAAGATTTGTAATTGTCGGTTTCTGTGTCGGTCCAAAAGTTAGACCACGCCTACGACGAGCGACCGAAGTTAGCATGCCTCTTGTTACTCAGCATCTTACGGAAATGATTTGGTGACCAGCCATACTGGTTCAAATACGCCGGCGCCATTGCAGACCAGATCCAACGGGCCTAATGCTGTCTTTGCGCGCGTAAAAAGCGCCTCCAGCTCATCCCACTTGGACACATCCGTCTTCTGGAACAACAATTTACTCGATCGCGGTTGCTTTTCCAGCTCCTGTAGCGCGGCAGACTCTTGAAGATCTCCTACAACCACATTTGCCCCCTGGCCAATGAGAAGCTTCACAAAAGCAAGATTTATACCTACTCACCAACTAGAAATCAGCTTCGACATGGTCTACACAATATTGCTTCGGTTCAGAACCATAAACTCACCGGATGCGCCACCTGTGACGATCGCATTCTTGCCTTTGACTGGAAAGTCCATTGTGATTGTTGTGTTAGTAAATTTTGACCTTGCTCTCCGTTGGTTCTCTTCTTTGGTCTCTAACAAGATGGGAAAATCAGTCATCGATTTGGACACATGAAACGCGGTTGATACAACACAACAGTACAACCAAGTTTGGAGAACTTTGGAGAAAAGAGAACAATTCTCATTCTTGTCACTAATGGCTCGCTTCATGGGAATCCGTCTGAGGGGAGCTCTTTCAGACAAGGCCAAGAGTACTTTGGCGCACGCAGCACAAGGCCAGGGCATCAGCTTTGCCCCGGTCCGGATTGTTATGGGGGCGGAGTCTGCGGGGGAGTCAATGCGGAGTAATGAAATACCCTCGGATCCTTGATCCTGAGTCCAAGAGCCCAAATGCTCAGTCATCAAAGGTTTATGTCCCACTTTTTAAGCAACCAGATATCGAAGGGGCTGTACTCCGTACACTCGAGAATCTTTCAAAATTAACTGCGACTAGTCCTTTTCTGCGAGAGCATATCTCGACCATAACACCGGCCCAAGTTAACCCTCATCCAATATAACATATATCCATTCGTTCTATTTTCCCGAGACATCGACAATGGCCAGACTCACCACGAACTCAGCAAAGCAATCAGTAATAACACCAAGGACAAGGCATACCAGCGTCGTCAGAGAAGGCACGTGGGGTGGAAGATTTCGAATGGTGATTATTGCTGGAGAAACTGGTAAACTAGTCTTTCCTTTCTGCCGTTTCGATTCTTGGAACCTTGGAGTGCATAATGATCGAGGGTAGTTGGCGTGTTACCCTCGATCATTCGATAACTTTACATACATTGATTGGGGAACGAATATTGGAGCACCTCTAGATCAAGACGTTTTTGTAAAAGTGCCCTCGTTTCTTCATCATTAAACGGTCAGGTTCTACCATATACCTACACAAGACTTTCTTCTCCAAGTGTGGCGCATACCACCCTTGCTAATGGCATTCCCCTGGCAGTCGGTGCAGATTCTATTACCCAAGAGACACCAACCTCGCTTGCGCAACCTCGCTTAGACAAAGGCCTAAGAATCGACTCGATCTGATACTTGCGCAAAAGTGAGCCGCATCCCCAATCTTCCCCAGTCCTATGCCCCAACCCCTCTAAAATGACTTATCCTAACTCTCCTGGCTCTGGCCGAGACTCACAAAAGTCCTATTTGGCGGCAGGAGCGACGTATATTCCCCTTGTCATGCTCCAAGTTATTCATCTTGGCGATTCAGTGGGCACGGATGAGTTCCACGCGGAAAATTATATAGCTTAGCCATGTACACCGCAAAATCCCTCAAGTAACGGATTTCGAAACCTTCTTTTCTTACATTGATGACTGAGCTCGACTGGACCACCAGCAGGAAAACAACCACCGTCGAATCAGAATGGCTCTTTCAGCCTCCACCCTTCGGCTGCTGGTGGGCTCTTTCTCGACAATTACAACCGATTGAAAGTATCGTGTTACTAACTCTTAACACAGATTGTCATGTTCGTCGCCTTAGGGAGCACGACGTACGGATACTGTGCCTCCATCATCAGTACCACCTTAGCCCAACCCTCATTCATCGACTATTTCGACCTCGACAGTCGGTCCAATGCCACCGACCTCATCGGGGCTATCTTTGGCCTTTTCCAAACCGGCGGCTTCTTTGGCACCTTGTCCTGTCTCCAGTCGGCCGACCTGTTAGGTCGACGGAAGGCACTGTTTTATGCGGGCCTGGTTACCACCGTCGGTGGCGCTCTCCAGGCTGGCAGTGTGAACATTGGCATGTACATCTTTTCACGGTTCCTCACGGGCGTCGGCATCGGTGAGTAGCGCTCTTCATTTCGGGTTTCGGGCATATGGCATTTGGCGTTCAGGATGGAAGAAACTAACGCACCTTTGCTTTCATCTTTCTTCTAGGCGCTCTTGTCACACTGGTTCCTCTTTACCAGAGCGAGATCGCTCCACCCAAGATTCGAGGCTTCCTCGTCGCCATGCATGGCGTGATGCTGTGCGTTGGTTATTCGGCCGCCAGCTGGGTGGGGCTGGGTTTTTACTTTGTCGACGCCGGCGGGGCGCAATGGAGACTCCCACTTGCCATCCAAGCCGTTTGGCCTGCGGTGCTTTCTGCTGGCGTTCTTTTCCTGCCCGAGACACCTAGGTGGTGTATGTTCTTTCTCAATCGTGTCAAAAAACAAAAATCGCGCCACCCTCTGTATTCCAGGCTAACCCAGTGGAAATAGTGCTGGACCAGGACCGGTATGAAGAGGCCTATGAGTCCTTCAAACGCGTCCGCGCCGAGTCGTCCGATGCATTCTTGAACGATGAAGCGGCGTTGAGGGCTGATTTTGCCATTCTCCGCGAACAAATCATCTTCGAGAAGCAACAGCATCTGTCCTTCTGGGACCTCTTCCGTCTCCCACACTATCGCAAGCGTCTCATTGTCGGTTTCGTCACTATGGTTGCTCCTCAGGTCACAGGCACTCAGATCATCTACAGTACGTTTCGTGGTTCACGTCCGTGGGAAGACTAAATCTCTTCTGACCTGCCAATACAGATTACGGTTCACAGCTATACAAAAGCTTGGGCTTCAATACGCTCGAGCAGCTTCTCCTGAGTTGTGGTTGGATCACATTTTCCCCTTTTGGCAATTGGTTCAATGGCCTTGTCGTGGACAAGGTTGGTCGGGTGAGAATGTTGTGTACGTACCCATCGGCACCGGTTTACCATGGGCTCCGACCTTGGCGCAGAGATTGACACCACTACTGTGTGACAGTGATCGGAATTTCCGGCTGCATCATGTGTATCGTAGGGGAGGTAATCACGCTAGCCGTGCTCGAAAAGGGTGAAAATCGTGCAGCCACCAACGCTGCGGTTTTTTTTCTTTTTCTGTTTGTCGGTTTCTATGCAAGCTTCATGTAAGCCAATACAGCACACCTCGGGGTAACCCAACTTTGCGCATGCCTATTTTTCATGACCCTGGCAGCTAACAAGGAGCCTCTCCACAGCGATGCAACCACATACATCTACGCGTCGGAGATTTGGCCGACCCCGGTCAGGGCAAAAGGCCTGTCATTGTCCATCTCAGGCCTGTTTCTCTCCTCGCTAGCCATCTTGCAAGGGTAAGCCGGACCTGGTCGTTGTCCATTATATTTCTGTCTCGATTCTTCTGCTCACACTGGCGTTGATTAGTGCTCCTGCTGGCTTTGCCAATATCGGATGGCGATACTACTTGGTCTTTATCTCGGTGACGTTCGTCATGGTGGTCTTTATGTACTTTTACTTCCCCGAGGTAAGCCACTACGAATCCTCTCTTCGTGGCACGACCTACTGCGGGAAAGGGGAGGGAAATACTGACGATGATTTACCCAGACCAAAAAGTTGAGCCTGGAGGAGATTGGACACATCTTTGGAGACGAGGTTGCCCATGTTGACGAGACGACTGCTGTGGCACTGGACCAGAAGGGAGCCGGTGGAATGCACGTTGAGACTGCAGCGGAAAGGGGCTAGGTGCTTTAGGGACTGTAGCACTTGACCTTTGGCTGAAGGTCGGGTGAGGAGAAACACTGTACTGTACAGTAAGCTACCCCTGGACTGCAGCACTCATGGCTTCTTTGGCTTTGATTTTGGCAAAGTGCTACACTTGGAGTGTGGTGATATAAAGCGCTCTGCTTTACTGTTGTTGGCTGCCTCTGAACTGTAATACTTGGGCCTCGCTCTAGCTGTAGCCTCTAGAACAGTCTATCGTCTCTCTGTGATAGTCCAGACTAAGAGTTGGGGTAAGAAGAACTACTGTACCCTTAGATTCTCTCTGGCTGTCACCAGTTCTGTGTCTTTTGACCGTTGAGACGAAACCTATAAACTTCCTAAACACTCTGCTAACATGACAAACCAAATTCCAAGCCTACCCAGGCGTATCGACCTGTGCTTCCCGCCACGAATTCAACGATGGATGTTGATACCAGCAGTAGCCACTATGAGCGAGGGGTAAGGGAGCGGTAATCTGCTCTCGGGTTCGACATGTCGAGTATACGGTAGGTGTAGCTTGCTGGTATTCCTACCACTTGTGCTTCCCCAATTAGCAGGATCAGCAGCCTTCCCAGGCGTGTTGCCATGGCTGACGTGAGCAGCTTGTAGTCTCGCTGTGCCTCCATATCAGGATCCGGTCCATCCTTGCTTCTCAACACACACTCACTTCTCTAGCTCAACGAAGTTCATCCGTCCCGGCGATCGATCTGCATTCGATTACCACAATGCATAGCGTTGCTTTTTCGGAGCAGATTGCTTTGATAGCTTGTCTTCGTCGTCTCATAGGGGAATACTCAGGTCTTATATTTTCTAGCAGTGATTGCCGTGCATCATTATCAGAGTTTCTGTTCTGCTATATTTCTGTCCATTTCATCCTTTTCCGTTTCGAGCTCGTTGGTATTCGGGTTCATCAGCTGTCTCATTGTGGTTTGACCCCTAGTGTAGCCCTTCCGGACCCTCACGTAGAAGTCAGTCGTCGGTGACTCCCCCGATGTTCGTTTTCACATAGTCCTCGTGGCTCCAAGAGATACTGTCCTCCTCCTCTTCCTCCTCTTCCTCCTCTTCCTCCTCTTCCTCCTCCTACGCTATAAATTCATCTTCTGCATGGATAGTGGTGTCCTCATCTAGCTCGAGGCTTGGACTTGGTTGCAGTGTGTCCGCAATAAGGATTTCTTTCGTCTCTTCCGGCAATCTGTCTTTCTTCATCTCTTCGTTGCTGTAAGTAAAATATCAATGAAACCTTCGAAATCAAGATGCCATTTGAACAAATTTTGTATTCATAGTATAGCCAACAAAATAGGTATCAATCTATTTGCGGCTGAAAGTTTGATTAAAAATTCAAACCTTACTTGTCTGCACGTTTTCATGCAATTCTAGCGTCCCTTCAACCTTACTTTCTTGCCGTGCTGCAATACCGACATCTTCAATATTTGACATATCCATAACACCAAACAGTTCGTCCATACGCTCGAGAGATATCTGCGTACAGTCAGAATTAATCAAAAGGCTAATGCGATAGCAAGGGCTTACCCCTTTGGTTTCAGGTACCCAAAATGCCGCGACTGCCATGACAACGTTGATCGTGCCAAAGATGAAATAAGCCTTGTATGGAGTCGAAAGAAGCATCACCGGGGTGGCCTTAGAAACAGCAAGATTGTTGACCCAGTGAGTGAATGATGCCAATGCAACATTATACGCCCGGAGTCGGTTGCTCGGAATCTCCGACACGTAAACCCAAGCTACAGGACCCCAGCCTGAGTTGAAGGCCGCCGCAAAGATATATATCATGGCTAAAGCGGCTATCCCAGCCGGCGGCGGAGTTTGATCGGCGGTCACATGGGGCCCATATCGAACATACTGGATCTGTTAGCAGGGGAACTAGCATATATTGGGCAGACTCCTCACGAATCCAACGTAGAGCATGCAGAATGCTTGCACAGCTCCACTCCACATAAAGGAAATTCGACGACCCAGAGAATCAGCAAGGAAGAAGGCGAATATTAACGCTGCAACAGTTTTGACTATCCCGTAAACGCCTTGCGCGAAGAGAGCAGTAGTGGTTGCGGACAATCCCAAGCTCTTAAAGATGGTTGGCGCGTAGTAGTTGATAGCTCCTGTCTGGGTGAAGTGTCAGTCTGAACTGATTTAGGAGGGGAAAATTCCAATAGAGAGACGATGAAGACCTACACCTGACCATTGATTGAAAACAAGGATGACGATGGTTAAGAGAGCACGTTTCCTGTTAGCTGACTGTGTCCAGCATTCCTTTTGCATTGCCCAGAAGCCTGTATTACCCCTAATGCGATTCTCGTTCTCCAGTTGTACTCTCAATTCGAGCAGCTCTTGTTCAACATATGAATGTTGGGGTGGAAGGCGTCGCACATTAGACAAGACGCTTGCTGCCTTCTCCCAGTTGTCTTGAGAGGCAAGCCAGCGCGGTGACTCTGGGCACATGAGCATTGTAGTGAGAAGCAGCGCTGGAGCGAGCGACTGCAGCATTAGTGGCACCATCCATGTAGCTTTGCCCTACCGACAAAATGGATATCGTTAGCGACGAGTCTCTGCACCAGTAGGCTGGTCATTTAGATACCTTGAAATGTAGCAGTGAACCATAATTGACGAAGTAAGCAATCATGCCACCCGTATCCAGTAATAGCTGGAAGAAGCCAACGAGGAAACCTCTGATAGCGCGAGGCGAGATCTCTGAGACGTATGTCGGGGCAAGCATAGTTCCTGCACCAAGTCCAAGACCCTCGATAAAGCTGTCATCATATTAATATCAGCTTTGTTGATGAGTTTAAGAAGTCAAAGGTCGTTACCCACCGACCAATGTAAAACACGGGTAAATGTCCAAACGATAGTGCTTGCATAATTCCGCCGACGATACCAGTAACAGCGACTGCAAGCAGCGCTGGCTTTCTCCCTTTTTTCTCTGCCAGTGGACTAGATACCAATGCACCAGCAATTGCTCCTGCTTGCATAGTAGTGACGAGGTTGCCGGAAAGGTTGGCGGCGGCGCTAGCGGAGAGGGCGTCAAGTCCAAATTCCCTGATAGTTCAGAATGAGCAACATTTGGATCGAAGGGTAGTAAAGTACTTCTTAAAGCCGGGCATCGCTAGGACTCCACCGATAATCCCCGCGTCCATTCCAAACATTGTGCCTGCAAAGCATGCCTATACCATCTGGTCAATGAATATTCGGCAGTATGACAGTAGGGCATCGAAAGCAAGCAATCGGCACATTAACTCCATATTGAGAACGTGTTGGTAGACATACCGAGGCAGTAAGTGCTAGAACACGCCAGTTGTACACTTCAGGAGGATCGACACGTATTGCATCGTTTCTGACGATATGTCGTAAGACGCTGTAGATTGTCATTGCTATTGAGAAGTCGTTGGTATGATGCGGCCAATATCACAGTATGAGCCAAAGGAGACTCTATCCCAATAATAAAGATGGCACGCAAAATGGATCAAGCCAACTGCAATCGCAACTGCGAGCAGTTTATATATAGACAGAGAGGCGCATGGTCTTCCTCACTCCCTTGTATAACCATGCGAAGAAGAGTCTGAATGTCAAAGGCTAGAGTCACCATGCCCGTTTGCGGGGAAGAGAGGTCTAATTTTCAGTTCGGGGACTGTCGGCAACATGTGTTTACCAAAGACCTAGATCTCAGCAGATGCTCATATATCCTTTACGAGATGCAACGAAGAATTTACTTGGCGCCGTTGGCATCGGGGAATCTCGCTAAGTGACCCGAAACAGCGATCTCCAAGCCTACAGGTCCTTGTAGGCTGTGCCGATTTTCGGAGCCACAGGACTGGCCCACCCTGGCTTTGGGCCGTGCCCGGTGCCCATCTAGCCCAGCTGAAATGAATGTGTGGGATTCCAAATGCTATCTGGAAGGGCTAGAACAGTCGCACGTGATACTTTCCGCGAGTACACGGCGTATGACTACTACTGTCTATTGATCCATACACTATCAGGATCCTTCCAAGCCATCTCGAGTTCAGTTGAAAGGGAGACCAAAGGCCAACGACATCGTTTCCAACACGAATCCAGCATTTCTAAGACGCAAGCCCTCTGCTCGGAATCCCGTGTGAATAACCCAGCTAATCCATATATCAGTTGCTGGTAACCATTGGTGTTTAAAGGCTAGCTTACCTATAAACACACATTGTGATATCAATATACTCGGTGCATCTTCTGTGAGGGTGAGACCAATTCCACAAACAGCCTGGACACTTTCTTCAATTAATCCCTGTCGTCTGAAGAACACGTTCAACCCTTCTAGGCAAGGCTTGGTGGCATGGAGAAGGATTCTAGACACATGGTGGACCTGCATGGCCAAAGCTGTCACAGTTATCAGCGTAGCCCATGGGTTTACAGAGTAAGAAAGGGAAGATACCATAAACATGAGGGTGTATCAATCGTGGTTCGAAGGCCTTTGATTTCTCTACAATCACTGATGGCAGTGGAGAGAATTCGACTGTCAAGCACGAGTGCCATTCCTGTAACATACGCCGTAATTGATCCGCCCATTCAATACGCTCTCGGAACTGGACTTCGGTCTGACTATCGCGATCAATAGCACAAAAGTTAACAACTTGAGCTAAAATCCACAGTGATCGCGCAGCAAGCTCATAGCTGTTGAGCTCCGAGCAGAGCTTCTTCGGTTGCCATGTACTGTAAGTTCTGCGCCTCTCGCGGAATGCTGCCCAAATGTCCTGCTGCAACCAAGCCCACCATGTTGTACTCTCGAGGCTTGCTTCTTCCACTTCAATTTGTCGAGACTTAAGGATCCAGAAAACGCCTTGGAGATGACGTTGCCAATCATTGGACGAGCCATGAAGCATTTCGTACGTTGATATGATGATGGTCGTTGCTATTAATTCTGGGCTATTTCGATATGAAGGGAACTGCATAGCCCTTTGAATATAGTGCAGTGCTTGGTAATAATATTGCAGAGTCGTTCGTTCGTCTGACTCCTGGGATGCATTCATCTGCTTCTGCAGGAGAGAATGATAACAAGACAATGCCAGAATAGCGTTCATCAAGCCGGCATTCCTGATTGCCAAATGCGGGACCTGTGTGGAAAATCGACGTGTCAGATCGAAGGGTTCAAACTAGAATTGCTATTCAGCGGTTGCGTGAAAATCTTCCCATCGGAGTTACCATACCCACGAGCTGATTCGACGCAGGAAGTTATCGAACAGAGCCTGTTCATCTGCCAGTAATGTGACATCTTCACGTGATTGCCATGAAGAGCTATCATCAGCTGAAAGAGCGGCGGGCTGGACTGGAGCTCCTAGCCCTGGTTGCCCGACTCCAGATAAATCAGGCGTGCAATTGTCAACGATCCTGGTGGCGTGTTGCAAAGGAGTCAGATCATCCTGACCACGCTGGCTAGAAAGATCCAGGGGCCCACAATCTTGATCAAGGGATACACGTGATTCAGGAAGGGCTCCCCAGTGGGCATCACTGGTCAGAACGTCCAGCCATCTAACCGCTGCTACGTTAGTGTTTCCAGTTGTGGTGGACGGACTTGAGTCCGCCGGAAGCCCAAACCGGTCACCGCACTCATGAGGCTGAAACGATGTAGCCGACAGCTCATTCAGATCAGCGATATTTCCAATTCTGCGGTAGTTCGATAACCCTGAAGTGCGTGATGAAAGCTCTGATCCAAGGTGGCGTGATCTCAAGTCCGCCAGAGGTCGGACTATGCGGAGGAGATCATCTTGGGACTCAGTAATCTTACCAAGTTGACGAAGTATTTCCAGTGTCGCAAGGTCGAAACTGGTGGAGTATTAGTACGAGGGGTACAACACGTGCCCTAGAAGATTCAAAGGCGACGCTTACGAGGAATGGTCTTCTTCAGGCTTGTCGTCATACGAGCACTGGACTCCGACAGATGCACAGAAGCCACACTTTGGCCGTACGTTATCGCACTTTGTTTTTCTGGAGCGGCATATAAGACAAGCTCTAAGACTTCGTTTCCTGGGATATCGCGAATCACCATGTGGCCTCCGCGCGCGCTTGTTGCCACTATGACGATCCTCGTTGGCGCCAGAGAGGTTTGTTACATGTTCGGATGGCATAACTCGTGACGGGTTTTCTCTCGAATGAGAATCGCAGTGTGCCCCCTCCACAGCACTCAAGTAAGAGGTACAAAGAGACTACTTCGGGGAAGATGCAGGAGGATAGTTGAGAGAGGATACCAGAAAACAAGTTTCGGGGAGTTTCGGTATTTAACAGGGTTTCCGTAAGTCGGTGACGCTTAGACCACGAGGAAGCCTAGGTACTTAGCCTAAAATGGCTTAGAACTGCCACTTTCTTACGCTATTCTATTCGTACTGCGGAGACCTCTGGCCTTGTCTGGACCCCCCTGAAATTTCACGGGGAGTCTCGGTCAACCAGCCGCTAAGAACGATGATCAATACTCGATCCTGAATATCTACACTGCTCAAAACCCCAGTCAGAATCCGAATTTCAATTGGCTTTCTACTCGAATGCCTTAAATACAAGCAATGCATCTCTCCAGTCTTCGACTCAACGCAACGCTACTTCGACAAGATGGGTGACCTAGGCTACGACTCACGACTGAATGACATCGAAAATGGCGGTGCCGATAGAGCTGACTCCGAATCGATATGGGCTGGTGGATATCTTAAGAGTCAAACGATTTCCACAGAGATTCTAGTTGCTGGTGGTGGCTTGGGAGGTGTTGCTGCAGCACTCGGGGCGTTGCGACGAGGACGGCGAGTCGTTCTAACTGATGAATACGAATGGTTGGGAGGACAGCTGACAAGTCAAGCTGTTCCACCGGATGAGCACACCTGGGTTGAGCAGTTTGGCATCACACGATCTTATCGGGCGCTACGTGACGGCATCAGGAAGTTTTACTGCGACCATTTCCCCTTGACCGAAGACGCTAGGAAAAGACCAGCCCTCAATCCAGGCGCTGGTTATGTTAGCAAGCTCTGCCACGAACCTCGGGTTGCAGTAGCCGTCATCGATGCGATGCTCTCGCCTTTCCTGGGGTCTCGGCAGCTTACAGTCATTAAAAAGGTCAAGCCAATCTCATCTCGGATGAATGGTAACCAAATCGAAGCTGTGGAGTTTCGTCGCCTCGAAGCGAGAGGCACTTTTACAGTCCATGCAGACTATGTGATTGACGCTACCGAGCTCGGCGATCTCCTTCCTTTGACAGGCACTCCCTATGTCACCGGCTCCGAGTCCCGCGAGGATACGGGTGAGCCTAACGCACCATTGAAGGCTAATCCGGAGAACTCTCAAGCCGTTTCTATCTGCTTCGCCGTTGACCATATTGAGGGCAAGGACTACACCATTCCTAAACCTGACTCATATGATTACTGGCGCAAGTACCAGCCAGCATTCTGGGGCGCACCCCTGATTGGCCTCGTGGCACCACATCCTCGAACATTGGAGCTTGTTGAGCGCGAATTTACGCCAAATATCAACGATGACCCTGCCACAGTCTGTGCTGACCAGCGGACATCTGGCGGAGACATGAATTTATGGACCTTTCGCCGTATAGCAGCGCGTGGCAACTTCTTTCCTGGAGCATATCAATCCGACATCTGCCTCGTTAACTGGCCAATGATTGATTACTTTGAGAAGCCCATAATCGATGTGTCTGAGCATGATTTGGAGGCACGTCTGACCGCGGCGGCCTCCCTTTCTTACAGCATGCTGTATTATCTACAGACAGAATGCCCGCGAGCAGATGGCAACGGTAAGGGGTACCCAGGGCTACGACTTAGGGGTGATGTTACAGGCACCGAGCATGGCCTCGCGATGGCACCTTACATTCGAGAGAGTCGTCGCATCAAAGCAATTACGAGAATCGTGGAGCAAGATCTTTCTCTGAACATACGTGGTACCAGCGGTGCAGTGGCATATCCAGACAGTGTCGGCCTAGGCATGTACCGGATTGATTTACACCCTTCGACCGGAGGAGATAGCTATATTGACGTCGCATGCTGCCCATTCCAAATCCCTCTTGGTGCCTTGATTCCACAACAACGGAACAACCTCCTCGCTGGTTGTAAAAACATTGGAACCACGCACATCACAAATGGGTGTTATCGTTTGCATCCAGTCGAGTGGAACATTGGAGAAGTGGCGGGCCTGTTGGCGGCATATTGCCTGGAAACATATCTTCATCCACAAGATATACAAGGCAGTAGAGGCAACTTCGAGGAGTTCCATAAAGTTCTTCTTCGGGAAGGTATCGAGACGAGCTGGCCTGATATTACAGGTTATTAATATGCTTATTATGTTGTTTGGATCGAATTAACAATAATGAAAACTCGTTCATATCGGAGATGATAGTTATAATATGTTGAAGGAGATTCTACTCCAAGTTGAAATCGATTACGATTCTTCCGGCCACGAGGCCTTTTCTTAGCTGCTTGATGCTTTCTGGAAGCCTACTCAGAGGTCTCACTTCGCAGATGTCCTTCAGTTCTCCACGCTTCGCAAAAGCAAGTGCCTCGTCGGTATCTTTTCTCGAGCCAGTCATTGTTCCAGCGATGTGCAGGTTTGTGGCAGCGAATATCAAGGGATCTGCTCCGACTGTTACGGTGCCAGTGGGGGCTGAACACAAGAGAAAATAAGTCAGAGACCATTCTCACGCCACTAGCAAAAAACGTAGGTGGAGGGAAGGAGACTCACGAATTCCGACACACAAGATGGTGGCACCGACACGACTACCAACGTATGACAGTGCGTCCTTGTATCCCTGGGGCGCCGTCACGAAGACACCGTGGGCTCCCACGCCGTCAGCGATCTTGCGGACTTCCTCGACAGTACTCGTCACCTTTCTGAAGTCGACGAATGCTTCAGCTCCCATCTGCAAACATAGCTTTTCCTTTTCTTCCCCAGAGTCCACGACGATGGGTCGCAACCCCATTGCTTTCGCTAGTTGGACACCTTGGATACCAACTCCGCCACCACCGCCTTTTGTCTCAAGGTTAGGAACATACTGGATACGTGGATGATACGTCGAATTGCTCACCTATGAAGACCGCCCATTGTCCTGCCGTTAGTCGTGACTCCCGCAAAGAGCTGTACATGGTAGTAGCACTGCACATGATCGGTCCGGCAACATGGTCGGGGACGCCCTCTGGGATCCGGGTCGTATAACGTGCAGGTGAGACGACATATTGACAGTATGTGCCTTAGAAGTTCCATCAGCCTGTGGTGAGTTTGGAATCTTGAGCAACGAAGATATACCATTGACTGCAAGTCCTGAGTTGATCAGCTTGGGGCAGTAGTTCTCCTTGCCTGAGATGCATAGCTCGCATACGCCACAGGTGTTCCAGATAGGTTTGACACCCGCTCGATCTCCGAGGGCCCAATCAGTCACACCCTCGCCGAGCTGGACAACCACCCCCGCGCCTTCGTGTCCCGGACACTTGACGCCAAAGGATGACATTGGCGGAATGGAGACATCATTGGACATGTAATGGATGTCAGACATGCAAAGACCCGTCACGTTCATACGCAGCAGAAGCTCCCCGGGACCTGTATCTGGCCGTCAGCCTTGTGCCAACACTCATGACCTTAATGATGTGCTTAGATTGACTGACCAGGCTGGGGAACATCAACTATCTGGACTTCGACATCGAAGTCGGGCCCCTCGTTCACCACCACACCTGCTCTGCATGTTTTCGGTATGGAGCCTTGCGGATCGATCATGGTGGCTGTGAGTTCGCGCGTGAGCTCAAACAGATTGCAGCAGTCGTCCCTGGTGGTTGACCCAAATGTAAGTACAGTTCAACAGACCCTGTCCAAGAAGGAAGGCTGCGATAGTCCTCTTTGATTTTCTTGACGCGCGATAGGAGACACATAGCCCCAGGAAATGCGAACCAATGAGACGACTCGCATTCTGGGTAGATGTTGCAAGGTAATGGGTCGCGGGCCGGTGCCATAGCCGAGATACGCAGGAAAGGTGCCTTGATAGAATCGATGGCCAGGACTCGCCTAGTGACCCCAGCGGGATAAGGGATTGGTCTATCAGCCAATCGTGAACGTCCGTTTCAGTGAGGGCGGGCAGCAAACTTACTCCGCAAACACCTTCTAGACTTCGCGGGGCATCTTGACTTGGCTCCTGATAGACACTTTAGGGCGTGCCCAACGGCGAACTGCGCGGCTTCCTATGACTCTAGCTACATATACCTGTCTGGTCATCCATGTCTCCACTGCATCTTCAGCATCACCTCTTTCTGAGTTCTCCCAAGTCGCCGGGATTGAAATAACGCCCAAATCAGTACCAAAAGTCCTGTTGCTGCTTTCGGTGCAAACCACAATCATTTCGCAAACATGGCCGAGAAGTCTGAAGCCATACAACCCATCGGCATCCCGGCTGCAGAGACCATGAGCGACTACGAGGATCTGAAAGCTCCCGGCAACGACGACTTTGAGGTCTTTAAGAAGTCAGACGATGCTGTCGACTTTCGCACTGTTGGCTGGCCTCATGCCTCGATAATCCTTCTGAAAAGTACGCTCCCCCTCTTCTCCTCGAATGCCGTTGTGAGCGAGCGAAATAGAAGTTGGACACTGACACAACAAACCTGTAGTCCAATTTGCTCTGGGGGTCTTGAACTTGCCAACAGTCCTATACATTGTCGGCGCTCTTCCCGGTGCACTCCTCATCTGCGCATGGGGAGCCTACAACACGTACTCAGCCGTCTTGCTTGGGGCCTACCGAAACCGCCATCCCGGCATCCACACCCAGGTCGAGATGGCTTATCGCGTTGGCGGCATCTGGTTCAAGGAGCTTACGGGCGCACTATTCATTATCGGCAACGTGCTGTGCGTGTCGGCCGGTCTCGTTGGTGTGTCCACAGGCATCAATGCTCTGAGCCATCATGCCGCCTGTACCGTGTGGTGGGGTTTCCTGGCCATGGTTGCGGCGGCCGGGGGCGCCAGTATCAGAAAGCTTGCCAGGGTGGGCTATATTATGTGGGTTGGCTTCATCAGTCTGTTTGTGGCAACATTCATCGTCGTGTAAGTATCAATCCTCCAAGGACGGTTGTGGGAGATGATAATGCTGACGGAGGCGACTAATAGT